TTTTTTCTCTTCAACTCTCTTCGCGATCAGACACCTTCTCTGCTGGCCAATTGGCAGGTGGAGTTGAAGATTGAGATTTTTGGGATTGAGTGCGCGGCTGTCGGAATAATCTGAGTCCATTTGCCATTTCGAGACGGGTCCATTAATTCGGCAAGATAAGGAGTGATCGCAAATCATACATGGCAAAGCTTAATTGCTCCTCTTGAATTTCACTCAACTTGAATTCTCCTTCGCGCTCATAAATAATGCAAAATTTGAAGTCACCCATCACGATTTTTATGCATTCTCTCTTGCTTTGTGTGTGTGCGAATCTCGAGGAGATGCAATCGATGGGGGAAAATAATTAATTAAATTTTTATTTGGTCTCGTGAGGTTGCAAATCTTGCTCGATCTTGCGAGGACTTTTATTGGTGGCCACGAAGATCGTGAAATTCTCACCCGCGTGGCTTTCGTATGGTGCATTTCCCAAGGGAATCTCAGGGATACACGTTCAAATGTTCTGTACAAAGTTGCAATTTTCAGCCATTAAAATTGTCAGTTGAGTCATAAAATGTCCTAATTTGAATATGATACTTTGTGTTGCTGTGTTGCAAGGAATTTTGTCACCTGTTTGTCAGGTGTGGCTTTGGCGCTTTGGCAAAAATCCTCACGTACAGTCAATTGTGGTTGAAATGGCTTTATGAAAATTCCTCAATTACAGCCTGACTTTTTGCCCCCGATGTTCGACATGCTCCACAATGGATTGCCAATGTGAAAGTATAGGATTAGCGGTTGACACTGTTGTGAAGAAAATGCTGAAGAAAAAGCCATTTCAGCGAATGCTGGGCAAAAGCATAGAAAGAGAGTGAAAAAAGAGTGTGCTTGATTCGGTTTTTCACCTGATTTTGTGCAAGTGAAACGTTTCTCTTGAAAGGTAATTGTGGGCAATCAATTACTGTAAAATATCTAATTATTGGTTTGCAATATCAATTTTGTGAAGGATTTTCGTGAGGGATTTTCTCAATCAGGCCACAAGATATATCTTGTCTGTATTATAATAATTTGTATTGCCAACTGTGAGACACATTTTTCTCACAATTCAAAGGCATCTGTGAGCTTTTTTTTACTCCACTCTTGGGCGCTGTGTGTAATTCTTTGGGAATTTAAGATGGAGAGAGAGAGAGAGTGTTGGGGGAGATAATTGGAGTTCCAAGGGCTCCCACAATGGATCACAGAGTGAATTCTCTGCGAGATGGATGGCTTAGGAGGAGGATTTTGGCGCAGCACCAGATCAAACAATGAGGTAGATCGTTTCTTTTATTTTACAATGTCTCTTGTAATGAGTTGATTATTGCTCAAAGAGGCGCAATTTCGCAATGAGTTTGCGCCTGTTTATAAAATAGACACCTCCATATTACTACAGCTCAATTCTTCAGTGCTTTTCCACTCTGTTCAACCTCCTATTCTATATCTCAACTACATGGATTGGAATTGAAGGCGAATGGAAGTGGCAAATGTGAGCAAGGTGATGAAATTTTTTCCTCAGCCACATTCTAGACTATGATCGCCTATTTCTTTCCCTCCCTTTTCCGCGAATTGTCTATGAAATATATTTCCTCTCACCTGAAATCAATTCTGGGCCAAATTGAAATACCACTGGCGGGTGAATAATGCTCAATTGGTATTTGGCAAATGGAAACCATTAATTTAATAGGATCTCCGCGGTACTCGAATCGCAAGTTTGTAAGTGAATTAGGCTTCCGTGGACCCCGACATTTGCAACAATGCGTGTTTTGGGCTGATTTCTGCGCTGTGCGGAAAAATGGGTGTGCAAAAAAATGCGCAATTTACATGAAAAGGACATAATTGACGGTTGATGCCAAATATCGTGAGTCGATCGAGTTTTTAAGCAAAATTATCGCATCAGTGCAAAATGTCTTCAGTCATGCTTCATTACTTCATCATTGAGGCTTCTCATCAAAGGGGCGCGCGCGATTCTCCCGGGTGATTGCGAGGCGCGATCTTCATGTGATCTTCCGCGATCTTGAGGGTGAATTTCACACATACACACACACACAAGAGAAGCACGAAGAGATGTTCAGTGAATGTGCTTGACGGATGATTCAATCCAACAATTGAAGGCACGAAAAAGGTGTCTCTCATGATCATCTCACTCTCTCTCTCTTTGCCATTTTGACTGAATGGATGAGAGGTCGGTGGAGTGATGATCGAGATCTTGACCCATTTTCCTCCACACTTGCTGAGCCACATGAAAAACTCTTTATTTGAATTCTCTAATGCGTGAATAAATTATAGAGTAGCGAGATCAAGTCAGGGAGCTCAATAGATGATTAATCAGTTAACGATATTTGATTGATTGATGGATGCTGGGCCGTTGAGAAAAAGTCTCTCAGGGTAGGCAGAAATTATTGATTTGTATATTTCCCAATAGACAATGATCAAATGGGGGGAAATTAGTGAAATTGGGCAATGGGCAATGGACATTGGCATGAAATTTCGCGTGCGATCCGGGGTGAGCATGCGAGGTTCATTAAATAGCATTTCCCTGGTGTTCACACACGTCAGTCGATGGCGATCGTTAATAACTTGGGGCGCGAAAATAAATAATAATGACGAGGCTGAGAGGAGTGTTTGGGACTTGACGGCCACAGAATCTGCATAAGAGAGTCACACGATCATGAGAAATTGGCAGAGATTCGCCCTGTTGTACGGTCAGTCGCGGAATTCTTCTGGCCACAATGGCTCCAACTTGTGTGCAATATCGTGACGCGATCTAGCATGAAATTCCCTCTTTGGGGAGAGTGTAAATGGGAATATTTTAATTTCATCTCGTCAGAGCTCGCGATCGCGACAGGGGATGATGCCTTCAGTTGCGATCTTCTAATGCTGAGACACAAAATTCCATGGGAATCAGCATTAATTTCACTCCAGTCTGAGTGGGGAATTTCTGCTCCACTCCCAGAAAAGACGAAGAGGAACCTTCGTGGTGATTTAAGAGCGTTGCTGAGGGAATAAACTTGGAAGATCACAATCAAGAGCTGTGGCGAAGAGACAAATATATTTCTCAACTCATTGTCATCTTTTTCTGTTCATTCTTTCAAAAGGAATATTTCACGCACCAGAATTTTTTCACAGCGAGAAAAAGAGAAAATTCTCCATCACGGAAGTTCCTTCAAACGCCCAATTTTGGCATTAGCGAAACACCACTAAGAACCTCTCAAGCTCAATTTGCGCGCGCGCGACTCCCTCGCGGTAAAAAAAAAGCCACATTTGTGTGTCTACATCCGCATATCGCCGATATATGTCCCAATAAATTGGCGCGAAGAGATCGACCTTCGGGAACAATGAGAAACTCGACTCATTTGAATACAAACCCCAAAAAATACACTGAATCCTCCTCGATGTCATTCATCATCACTGCGTGTGAAAGATTGAATGGCAATAGTTGAAGTCAGTGGCGTTTGATAAAGTCAGAGTTGCGGATTTTGAGAAGGCGGAACACAGCATTGACCACGCCACTGCCTTCGGGAACGCCATCAGATCATCTGATCGTGTGGCGTTGGAGTGTCTCTGGGCGAGAAAGAAATTGAGATCGTGGGCTGAGGCATTGTGCAATAATTGGCGTGTGAGAGTGACTAAACGGCGGCACAAAGAATGCCCCCCAGTTGTCGCCCATATGTGCATAAAATCGTGACTTATGATCATTGACACACGAGTCTCCCCTTTGGGTGCACGTTTCCAGGCCCCGGCGCGGTGCATTTTGGAGCAAAATCGAAAGTGACACACGATGCTGCCACTCTATTTGATATTGGCCCATTCTGCGGAGGTGCCCAACCTTGAGCTCTGACAGAACAGCTCATTCGCAGTGCGAAAAATCTCACTAATCGCCTGCACGGGGCAATTTTGAGACGTTTCCATATGTTTACCAGCGTTTCTACAATGTTTAGACTTATGTTTGGGTTAAATTCGCCGGATGATCTCTTGTGGGTGTAGCAAAATGGGGACTTTGGCCTTTTTTCTTCTCTCTTGTTGTGATCTTGAGGTGCGATCAGTGACAATGTTGGAAGGAATTTTCCAGGTGTGGCTTCTTGGCGAACCATTTTTCACCATCTCTCGTGGAATTCCTCGTCATGTGATTCACATTTGGACCACATTTTTCCATCCATTGGACGGCTCTTGTGTGCGAAGGTGGTGCAATTGCACTGGATGTTGTGTACAAAGGCCTCAATTCCCGCGGAGTGACAAAATAGCGTGTATGAGCTTCTCACCTGTGTGATTACCTGTGATCTGGGTCGATGATCGTGGATTTTCTCGCTCGATCGTCGTGTACGCGCGCGCCTCTGATTCATCCCAAATTGTAACCAATTGTCATGGCGCGAGAATCACACTAATTTCTTGTACAAGAGATGTGTCTGGATGTGTTGCGCAAAAATCACTGTAAGTCTAGTTTCCAAGGGGTAGATATTGTGAAAAAAACTCGTATATTTGTGCAGTAAAAGCTTCTATTTCAACGAATTGAGGCATTTTCTAGGTTATGTGAGATTTAATATAGATTCTGGTAAAAAAAAATACTCAAAATCTTCAAATTAGTGGAAAAACTTGGAATATTTCTCATTTTCTTCACAGAATTGAGCATTTGTGTTAAAAAACATCAGGAATAAAATGAGTTCAAGAAGAATTTTTAAGCCAGATTCATAACCTCACAACTCGATTAGAAGATTTCTTAGCATCTTCCGGAGATAAAACTAGAAAGTAAAGACAGAAAATGCCCTAAAAAGCGCTTGGAATTGTCTGAAGTGTTAAAGATTCTACGAAGAAACAAGATTTAAGGCATATTATCTCCCCCTTGCTGGTGACAAATGGCTATGAATGAAATTAATTTCGGGGATAATTTGAGTGTGTGCGCGCTTGAATAAATTTAAATAGACAATTAATCTGTGGCGTTGTCTCAATATTGAATAAGATTCTCATGCGCCTTCTTTTTCTTTGCCCTTTTGCAGAATTGGATTGTGCGGCTTCGACAATCCGATGCGAGATCAGAAGACAGACGAAGTGAAGCGTCATGTAGGGCAGGTAAGCTCCATCCTTCATCACTTAATGTCAAACATTTCACGATTTCAAATGCGAGAGACCTCAAATTGTGGCAGAAGATCATCTCAGGGCTCCGATCGCAGACGTCCTCTCCCACAAGTGACGAAATCCAGCCTCTCTCAATCTCCCACTCTCCGTCGTCATCTCACTTCTGCCACAGCCGGATGACTTCTTCCTAATTTTATTGGCACTCTACGGAGGTGTCCTAAGACATAATTAATTCTCCGTGCGCGGCAGGTTGATTCGGGGATGGTAAAAATAGAGAGATGACTCTCGAGATGTATCAAATATCATGGAATAACATCTCATGGACACCCGAAGATGTCATAAATTGAGATATTTATGGGCGTTTGGTGAATGAGCGAAAGGAGAAGGCATTAAATGTTGATTGATGATGTTAATTTTGGCCCCCAGCCGAAGACAGAGCCAAGACAGTGCGCCTGGGAATTGGCTGGAAGTGCAATTGAATTGCAATTCTGGGCGATTGCACTGCAATCTCGCCACTTTTTCACCTTCTCCTCCCACCAAGAGATGTGTAGAAGGTGAAGTGGCAGCAAATTGCTGGGATGTCTTCGAAACTACCGTACAAACGTTAATATGGATTTTATGTTTCACTGACAAAACACTCGCGCGCGCACGGCTGAAGAATGGACAAATTAACTTGGAAGTTCGTCAAACTATGTGATTTTCCATATCAGATGACCTTTTCCCGATGATATGAACAATAGAGGTATAATTTATTGTTGAAAGAAACAAACATGGACGAACACTTGCTGATGGTGGGAGATTTTTCAGGAAATTCTCCATAAGCGCAGCTCAAATAGGGAAAAAGTTGAATAACATTGCGAGTGGTTGCAATTAAAATGAGGAGAAAAATTGCACAGCATGAGGTATTTGGTGATCAATAGATTGTGATCGGTAAATGATAAATTACATTAAATATTTGGACGATTTTATCGAGATGCTGAGGAAGGCAATCGTGATCGCTTTGGTCAAGATCAAACCTTCACGATTGCCTAACATTCTGTATTTATGATTTTTCCACGCTTCCTCTCTCTTTTTCCCATGTCCAATCTCTGTTTGTGAGGAGAATCCGCGATAGGAGGGAAATTATTCCACACAATTTCAGCCAAGAGACTTTGCCGTTCCCCCCAACTCGATTGCTGATAAATTGTGGGAAAACTCAGAGAAAGGGAGATTAATGCAGATGACACGGCGCGGAATGTGGCGAAAGGGACTCCCGGAATTGCGAGTCTATTGAGAAGTACCTGCAGCGAGACACCCCGTGAATCCCAATCGTGATAAATTCATCGATCCCCAATCAATTGGCGCGATTGAGCTTGAAAGGGTCGCGGTTGCTCAGCTGCGTGTGTCCATTTGTGGGGAGATAAATAGTGCATGTGTCACAATAATGTTGGCGAGGCAGGGAATTGAGCACCGGATGCAATTGCCAAGTGCGTATTTTATTGTTCTCCACGTCTTCCAAAGACTATATCGCCACGGGAAGAATCTTTCACGGAGTTGCGTAGACAATGAGCCAATGGATGAAAAGCCTTGAGCAATGCGCGCTCGGTGCAGAATTGAGAACGACATTTTCTGCATAAAGCTCATGATTTGCATCCGCTACTAATTAAAACACGATCTCGGCCATTTCTTGACGAGAGATCACAGCATTTGATGCAAAGCCAGAGCCTTGATATTTAAAAGAGATCATCGCAGAAGCGCCACGGAGAGCTTTTTGCATAATAAAACGTCGCGCAGTGACGAAAGAGTCTCTTCAGTGGCAATCGCGATGCGTTGCATTGAAAAAGCACCTTTTTCCACACACACACACACACACACACGTGAATGCCAATTGCCAATGAAGATGGTGAGGCAAAAAAGTCAATCGAATGATGTGAAATGACATCGAAAAGGGTGTTTTTTTCGACTTGTCTTATGAGAAGAACTGTTAAGGAAGGATCGAAACGCGCTGAAGATCAGAGAGAAACAGAGAAGAAAAAAGAGACAATAAACTTCCTAATAGATATTAAAACTTATTAGAAGACGATCAGGGTCAGCTACAATAGTGATCTTTTTTGCTAATTAACCCATAATAGCTTTCATTTAACTACCGTTTCGACATATTCAGGAAAAATCTAATCGCAATCGTAGTTTTTTCTTGCCAATTGTGACTCATTAGCATAAATTTCTGGGGGAGATGATCCAAAGGCGGTTGATGAAATGAAGATCACGATCGTTTGTGCTATTTTCACACATAAATTTATGGCTCCCATTCGACGTTATTGTACATGCAGAGTGTGTTAAAATTGAGAGAAAATCAACTCAAGGACGTCAATTGATCTTTCGGAAAAGGTCTGCGATCGGATGCCACAGTTTTGATTGTGACTCTCGCCTCAGCATCGCTGATCTGTCGCGATCGCGCATAAATGATGAACTCTTCTCTGTTTTGCAGGGTGTTAAAATTAAAATGGACGATGCAGGAAATATTCTCATTCGTCGGTATTCAAAGGCAAATGTCTACATCAAGAGTACATCGAATGCCCCAAATGATGAGACGGCGATCGGTGCTGACATCCTCAAACTGCCAAATCAAGCGCTGGAGAGTGAAAAGATCGTCAAGGTATGTGTTGTCTTGCAAATTCCCCTGCAAAATAGCTTCTCAAGACCATCTTTGTCCTTTCCGCGCGCACACTCCAGGCGAGGTTGTGCAGATCAATTGTGACCAAATGAAGAGCACGGGAAGGAAAAAGGCGGACAATGGCCATCTATTTATAAACTAGATTCGCCTATTGGTTGCATCCACGAAATAATGAAACAATTCATTTTCTCTCCCGCCAGTTGTTCGACATGAAGAAGTTTCAGTCAAATGTGAATCGTGAGCTGCGTCGCGCCTATCCGGACCGTCGACGGCTGGAGACGCAGTGCCTCTCGGCGGTGGCTTTTGTGAAGTCGGAGAACGACATCCTGGACTGTCCGATCTGGGTGTTAATAGTCAATGTGGTCGCCATGGATATGCTAAAGAGTAAACTGCCACCAGGTAAGGAACCATAAATTCTCCCCATCAACCCTCATTTCGCATGCAGGGACAGCAGCTTATGCAGTCGTGCTCCCACGCAGGAGCGCCATCTAGCGACTGAGATGCCTCTGAAAGTCAAGGGGGAGATAATGTGCTCTTAAACACTTCCAGAACTTCTAATTTAAGAGCTCTTTCCACAATATTTCGCAAATTATAATAAATATCTTAAGGTTTCATGAGATATTTCTGCTAAAATCCACTTAAATTCGATTTTTAGAGCGTCTATTCCGACCATAACCTCAAAAATATCACTAGAAGATTTTTAAAGATTTCAATTTGAAGTTTTCTGGATGATAAAATCATATTTTAATTGCTGGTTTAGAATCAAAATCGTGCATAATGTGGCATAAATATTCATTTTCCAAGTCCACAATACTATTTTTGAGGTTATGCTCAATCTCAACACAATTTGCAGTGTTTTTCGACATCAAAGGTTCAAAAATGGTTCATTCTGCCAATGAATAGCAATCTTGGCGACTTTAGCATAAGAATTTATGTGCTAGAATGCCAAATATTCTCTAAATTCCGGCCGTAATGCGTTACATATCCTAGAAAAGGATTGTTCTTTCCTACAATTTAAAAGAATCCAAAGAATCTGGATGATTAGTCGGTAAATGACGCACGCAGGAAAGGAAGATTGTGTATTTTTGAAGACTTCCACTTGTTAAGAACTCCTTGACTATATTATTTCCTCCTTGCTGAAAGTAAAAGTACGACTGAAATTACCCGTCAATTAGGCGAAAAATTGTGAATGGCACGAGGTTCTCAATTTACGAGGCACGATCCGAGAGGCAACTAATGATCTTTGGGACTTTTGACGAGTGCTGCCTATTAATAACATTTTTTTCTCCGTCTGCAACTGTGCTTTGTGTGAAAGAGTGCGACTTGTGGGTGGGTTGGGAGGGAGATCTCCTTTCACCCAGGAATTCCTCATCCCAACAAACCTCCAAAGAGCTCTTCCATGCCATTGAGATGCGTGGGCATAACATGAAAATGATGGGAAAATGCTGCCCGCGAAGGTGACAATAATTGCTGCCATCTTTATGACTGCCTTCCTTTTGTACAAATTCAAGATCACGAGCATGAATTTTAACATGATCTCCGGCTGATCTTTCCGGTGTGTTAAGTCTCTCTTTCACTCCGCGACACTCTAAATTCACGCCGCGTCTCTTGCGTGATGAAATTTTATAAGATTTACATGTGAAGGAAATTGGAAAGGGCTTTTTTTCACGAAGGGAGAGAATTTCACATGGAAAAGTCCACATCCGTCGCGAAGCGATCGATTGTAATTGATTAATGACTTCATTGAGTGTTTCTCGTCTTTTTTCGTGAACGTGTCTGGAATCTCTTCTATTTCACGTATGCCAAGTGGGACTCGTGTTGCTCTCACACAGTTTTTTTTAGTCTCCAAGAAGAAGTCCTCGAAGGGGATGATCATGCAAATGCAATTTTGCCTGTTTTTCTATCAAATTGTCTCGGCGTACTTGCGATTTTCGGTGGGTTGACTGGGAAATTAACCTATTAGAAGCTCGATGATAGACCCTCAGCGGTGCTCCCTGGATCGTGACAGTGCCTCAAGTCTCGTATGTGAGGAACAATGGGAAGAATATCGATTGGGTGATCGAGAGAAGGCAAACTGCCCGCGTGGCTGTTGAGATGATGAAGGAGGGCGATAAAGGTGGCTTCTAATGTGGCTCTTATGAGCCTCATTTGGGATTCAATTGCCATCGATTCGGGTGGCTAACTTTTTACCCCAATTGAACATGACATGGAGACAAGATTCACTTGCATTTTCGCCATGTCCGCGCGCGCGCGCGACTTCCTGGGAAAATCTCATGGCATTCTCTCTCAAGATGCTTTCACTTTTACTTTCATCCTGATTCACATCGCAGAGATTAATGAACAATCGCTGTGGAGATGATTTGTTAAAGAGTTATTTGGGTAAATCTACAGTGATCTCTTGACCTCCCACTCTCTTTGCCAGGCGCAAAAACACATGGCAATTTGTGCGGAGTAATTAATATCTGATGAGAAGACCTCTTGTTTCACCTCATCCAATCATCAATTGCTGGTAATCTCTCGCGATCGGCGATTTAGAGTGTGTGTGCAGAGCTTCTCAGCCCAAAACAACAACTCCACCCAGATTTCAATGCAAATCCCATGGAAAAAAATTCAAAATAATAATTTCATGCAATTTCCCATTGAGAAATCTCTCCCATGGAAGTCACTTTTTCATGCGCCTTCGCGGAATGTCGACGACAAATGGTGTTGAGCGATTGCATTTAAATAAAGTAAGGCAACATAATGTGGAAGGGAGAAAGAGAGAGAAATGTTCTTCGACAGTGATCGTGGATTTTGTGGGCTTGATGGGAATGCAGATCGTGATCGTTGCCTTTGCCATATGCTGAAATATTTGTCATTTTTCCGCACATATTTTAGCATATATGCACAGATTTATGCAGAAAGTGAGACATACTCGCAATTGTTATGTGGAATATTAAATATTGCGCCGCACAATGAATATAGATCGCAATGGAGAGAGTGAGAGAGGCTCCCAAATGCGATTCCCGTGTTTTTCCTCTTCTCACCTGTCATCGGCGTGTCTTCCTCGCGACTCCTTCGGAGGACTCCATGGGGGAACCTCGTGCAGATTCCCTATCGTAAAAGCGGCAGCAGCAATTTCCACTCCCGCTTGTTCGCTGATCAACGTGCATCTCTTGCTGATCTTCTTCTGGGGTGAGAAAACAGCCTCTGCGCGTGATGTTGTCCCGGAAGAGGCTCTAAAAGTGATTTAGACTGTTTATAATTGAATCCATATTTTCACTTCTCACCTCTTCAGGCATCTAATCTCACTCGTCGTTTAATATTTACAAAAGAAACACATCGCGAGAACGTGTCTTAAGGGGGAAAAGAAGTACAGAATTGTGTGGGAAATATTGGTGCAATTTCCTTGTGTAATTCTATAGCGTCTTGGGCGCGTCTTCATTGGCCATTCAAAGAGAAATCACTCTTCGCGTCTTAAAGTGTTTAAAAGAGATCGTCCAGAGCTATAAATTTGTGTCTATTTTCAAATAAATACCATAAAATATCTATTGTTTTGCTGAATTTTGGAGTGGATTTGTTTTTTTGGACTTTTATTTGACATTTATTCGCTAAAACACACCGAATAATTTATTCTCGTAAAACCATAAAATTCTTATCGTGCTCCTCCTTTTGTGTGCAATAAAAATTAAGAGAAGTTTACTGCAATAAAATGACCACAATAAATTTAATTCGTTGATTGAAAGATCGCGTGCTGACCTGCTTGATCATTTTCCACGCCGTCCTGTAAACTCCTTCGCATTTCTCAAGCATCGGACACACAAATGTGTGAAATTTTCAATGGGGCGATTCTTGTCCACTTTTCAAATGCCTAACGGATTGATGGCCTTTTCATCCCATCCAGCAATTCATCAACAATCAACAAGTCTTTTCACTCTCATTCATGCCCATTTTCGGGGGGATCTTTTCACTATCTCCGAGGCACTTCTTCACCTTCACCTTCCAGATTGGAGATTCAATTTCACAAGACACTTTTTCCTGTCGGCACTCTATTTACCTTTTGGGCTCTTTTTCTCGGAAAAGTACTTACACAGGGCAAATGGGAAGATTAATTTGTTTCTATTCCATCGCGAGGCCTGTGAAAAAAAGCCCGCAAGTGTTTGTGTACAAAAGAAATGCCTCAAAGTTCCATCATTGGTAAATTGGATGCATTTAACACGTGGTGAAGAGTTGATGAGAATTCTAATTATGGGAGTTTGACCTTTTGCAAGGCATAAAAAGCTGCTATTTTCAGATTGTGAAGCGCGAGTGGGTGGATTTTTGTATATCAAAAAGTATCATTCTTGTCCCACCGGTTGACTTTTTACCGCTGAACAAAAAAAAATTAGCTATTAAGGTCCAAATGTCACTGCCATAAAGCATCTTCTAATTTATGGAATTCTGCGTCTTGATGAAATTGATGCGCCTCTTCACGTTTCGCCAATCACCATTCAAATTGCCGCAATTCATCCAATTAGTCAAAAAAGAAGCTCGCGTGTCGATGGAGTTCCTTGAGTTTCGCCCACATTCCTCTTTCATGGGAAAATCAACTTGGTAGTGTTCACCACAATCGCGGCTCAATGTGAGCAAGGATTGCGAGCTTATCGGCAGTCAAAGCTTCTTGCACGATTACAGTTCGACAGAGAAGTGTTAAATCACTTCAGCGCCCATCGTGAGACTGAGTTAATCATGGGCAATCCAGAATATTCGCTTCGCATTTCCTTAATCTCAGACTGGGACTCAATAGTTGTGTGACTCAGTGTATAAATAGCGCCAAGAAGAGTGTCTCGTTTGGCTGAAGATGTGCAAAAACCAGTTGTCTGGATCTGTATGGAGACAGAAAGCTGTTTATCGTGCCTCTTTTATTATGCCAATGAGGACCCGGATATGGTTCTCAATAGAATTCTATCGTGGATGAGAGTGGACGTGCTAAATTGTGTGATAAATTGCACTTCGGCCACTGATTATGTCACAGAAGTTGCCAAGCGTCGGGCTTCAAGCTGTCCCGCGAGGCTTTTCGCCAAGGGGGAGATAATACAGCCAGAAGTGGTATACAGCTCAATAGAAGTACTCAAGAAAGAAATTCAACGCAATATTTGGAGATTTTTTAGACTATTTTCTTCAATAAAAATCCCATTGCTTTTCTAGGTTATGTAACTAACTTTAAGCATAATTTAGTGATTAAAAAACATCGGGAAACATCAATTCATGCACTTTAATCGAGAAATCTAGATGATGATTACAAATTTTCGTTGTTTAATTGATTTTCAACTCTAAAATATACGAAGGAAACCTAAAATATTTCTTAAACACTGTTTCTTTGTAAGTTTCTAAAGTAAAAATGGTATCTTTTTTAATGTCAAAGACTCCTAAATTTGAGGTTATGATACTTAAAGCGGCTGAAAAAATCTATGAAATCAAGAAAATGCGGAGAACGCGTGTCTTAGGCACAGCTAAAATTCTGAAAGAGTCTGTGATTCTTCACAGAAAGTGGTGTATAGAGTATAAGTCGTATTATCTCCCCCTTGCTTTTTGACTCGCGTGGGGATTTTCATCCCACAAAGTCCACAAAGTATGGCTCATATTTCGTCTCGCTCTCTTGTGCTCCAAAAGGAGGATAAATGCTAATTTTTTCGTGAAAGAGAAATTAAATTCCCAGACAAATTCCCCAGGCAGAGTGTCTCCGCCTGTCCAAAAGCATAAGCAATCATTTATCAGCTGCACAAGCAGATCATTAATAAAATCAGTCTGATTGCATTTTGCTTGTTCTCTTTGTCAATTTCAGTGCAACGTCCTGTAGATATAAAGAATCGCCCGCGAATCCCCATCCCAGACGAGGATCCCTACAGTGTGGCCGGCAATGGCGGATCCGGCGGCAGCTCCAGCAGTTCGGGCTTCGGCGCCAGCGGCGGCGGCGGACATGTGGCGGCCACGAGGGAACAGTTGCTCCTGCAGACGCAGCAATTGGCGTCGCGACGCAGCGAAAAGCCACCCAAACTGCCGCCGCGCGACAACATGTATCCACATGATATACCTAAGGTAGGCCCAGAATCGCCGCATGACCATTTGGAGTATCGCTTCTAACCTTTCGCTTTCACTCACATCCTCTCTGCGTGTCGCAATTTATTCATAAAGTTCCATTATCAGCCTGATTACGACGATATCGAAGACGATACCAGAGTAAAATCATTCGCCAGGGGGAAGTCGGACAAGGGCAAGGACAACAAGAAATATGGTGAGTGTGAAACATTAGAAAGTACAAAATGCTCTTTTCAATTGTATCAAGGATTATTGTTGGTTTCTTTGAGAAATTGACCAAGAATCGATCGTGATGTGTCTCACAAATGTCTTGATGATCATCCAAAAATAGCCATGAATCTCACTTTCCGTTAGCAATTTTCACTATATAGTGTGTGTTTTGAGGAGAGGAAAAAAAGGTGGTGAATAATTTGCTCTATTGTTGTGAAATTCCATTGATGGCGTTTTCTTGCGTTTCACACGCCGCAATTGCCAAAAATCCACTCAAGAACGCGGTCGTGAAGTGAAAAATGATGTCGTCATGGTTATTTCGCGATCGGCTGATGAAGCTGTGATGGAATTCATCTCAATGACGAAACTGGCAAAGATATTCATCATCGTGCGAGACACCGTGCGGTCGATGAAGAAAAAAACAACACAACAATATAATGAAAACATCGACTATTTGAGCATTTGAACGGAAATGAAATCATATTGTGGGAGGCAAAGAGAGAGAGAAAAAAGGCCCATGATTTTTGGGTGGATCGCAAGATCGCGCGATCTTTCGGGCAGATTTCATTCATTGCACACTTCACTGCTCTCATTTTCACCTTGATGGATTCACTCTCTTGACCACTCGATCAATGATCAATTGTTCTCCATTGTGGCGTCGATGGAATTGCAAGAAATTCCTCATTGCATTAGATTAGAAGCTTGTCCCAGTTTTTTTTCTCTTCTCTTCTCCTCCTCAATGACTTCTGCAGACCAGCATTTATGCAAATGTGTGCCACGCGATTATTTTGTAAATATTGCAATGTCTCCATAATTGCAAATTGGTGATTTGCAATATCTCATTATGAATGTGAATATATTGAATCAAACTAGTTCGTTCTTAGCCTCATTCCAACTTGGAATATGACGACGTGATGATGAAGAAATTGGTCACAAACAGCGAGAATATTATCTCTACGCGATTTATGGAAATTAATAGACCCAGTTTTCATGCCAAGCCACTCATTTTTCTTCTAGCTCAAAGTTAAACTGTTCAAAAGGCAGATATTATGGTCGAAAGAAAGTGTTAGGAATTGAAAATGATAATATTTGCATTGAAAGAGCTTTAATTTCAACAAATTGAGGCATTTTCTTAGTGATTTTGCAGTGAATGATCAATTTTATGACTTTTTCTATGTTATGTAATTGATTTAAAACAGATTCTGGCGATTAAATAACACTCAAAATCATCAATTATGTGATAAAGCTGGGAATTTTCCTCATTTTCTTAGCAGAATTGAGCATTTACGTTCGATAAAACTCAAAATTGGTTGAGAAAATGCTTTAAAGTCAAACATAACCTCAAAATATTATTCTAATCTAGAAGAATGTTTCTTTGTTTGGTTTTTTTGTGATTTGAGCATTAAAGTGGCAAATTTAACCTCAATTTCTTGTAGAATAATTGTGATATTCGTCATATTTACACATTTATTGGCTTTAAATATCTTTTAAATCAAATTTATAACCTCACAATTTGATTAGAATTTTTTAAAGCATTTTTTATTGACATTTCTAGAAAATGAAGCCAGAAATCAGTTCTTCCGATCCGGAATCTAAGCATTTGAAGTGCTTAAACTTCTCAGTTTCTGAATGTTGAAGATTCTGCACAAATCTGAGGCATATTATCTCCCCCTTGAAAATGTTGATAGAATTCTTTTTCGCTCACTTTCACTCGTCTTTTTCCACCGCAAACTTTTCTGGTTTTGCCATTTTCAGGCGCAACTCTCCTCGCTCTTGATGAGGCAAGAGTGAGAGAGAGAGAGAAAAAGCCATGGCAATGTTATTTCGGAATTTGTGGCGATTGCATTGAAAATGAATTAATTAAGAGGAGCTCCCAAGTGGCACACACGAGTTCAAAATGCCAAAAATGCGGAGCTCTTGCAATTGAAATACAACAACACCAAATGAATTTCAATTCAGGAGAAAATTTTCAGTCACTTTTTGCCCAACTTTGAGTGGCATTTTCGGTTGGGAAATATGAAATGTTGGAGTGCAAATGTTGGGGAATGAGCAGCATTCGTCAGCGATAATGCAGTTCAATTCCTCAATTTCCTGCCAGAGAAAGAGAGAGAGAGAGAGTTTGATCAATTTCACCAGACAGTCGAATTGAATGCCAGCGACATGGAGAAATTACAATGATCATTTAATTTAATTGATAGGATAAATCGCAACTTCTGGTGAACGCAAGTGCGATTGCCATTCCACGTACAAATTGATTTTAATCAAGGCAATAAAGTGATTTTTTTTCCTCTCTGCTAAAGCAACATTCATATATCAAGAGAAGTATGGAAAGAGGCAATTTCATAACTATGAAGAGAGGCTGAAAGATTTCACAATGGCATCGCTGAAAAGAAATTGCTAATGATTTCCTCAAACAATTTTTGAAATTCTCAAGCTTTAGAGGTGATAAAAGGCTTCATCAAAGTGTAAAATCGATGTTATTGGTAAACGATAAAGTGAAGAGGATGAGAGAAAAAAGTATCGCCTTGTATTAAAGATTAACAAGCTTTTCTAGGAGAAAAAATTGCGTAATTTAGAAATGAAGATCAGAAAATCGCTTCAGTTATTCATTTTGATCGGTGGAATAGGGGAGAGTGGGGTCACTTTTATCCAATTCAAATCGACGGATGAATAGAAAAACTATGTAAAGTCAAAATTTAGCGTTAATTTCGCTGCGAAATTTGCCGAAATTGAATTCAAATTTCCGCAAATGATTTGATACAATTTTTATTATTGCTCTATAATATTTTTTTGAGAAATCTTTAATTTCAATTTCAATTTGAAGTATATTTTGAGTACATTTTGTTTAAAAAATTAAACAAATATGAATGAAAATTAATTTAAGAAGTCTAAGGACATTTTAGATTAATAAGATTTCTTACCTTTGCCTCATAAAATGCAAATCTCAAAATTTCAATATTTCAGTCAGAATTGCAATAAATAAGGAATGAAATCAAGTGAAAAAATCACTAAATATTTTATTAAATAGCAATATTAATATATTTGGATCTTTGGTAAAGATCCAGTGGCTTTCTTGCTAGATTCCTTGCTAACCCTTCTGCTCTCCATCCAGACGATCCGTACTATTGCGGCCTGCGTGCGCGGGTGCCGAACTTCGTGAAGACCACGAAGGCGCCGCCGGCGAAGCACCACAACGGACACAGTGTGCACGAGAAGGAGACGCCGAAGCGCATGTCGCTGGCGCACCTGCAGCATCCGGCCTCTCTGCAGTCCCTGCACCAGCTCCACCAGATGCACCCTCATCAGCACCTCATGGCCGCCCACCAGCAGCAGATGATGTGGCACGCGCGCAGCTTCGAGAGTGGCATAGGTATTTATAGACACTCACGCTACATGCCCGACTGTGACAAGACGCCACACGCACACCACCACCCCCTTTGTCGCGCTCCCTCCATCCCCGCGGTCGTGTACGACTGCCAGCCGCAGTCGCTGCCCGAGGCGCGGCCCAGGGTGCGCCGCCGGAAGAGCCTGCGCCACTACGAGGAGTGGTACGACGACAGCAGCTCCGCGGCCGGCGACGACGCGCGCTTCCTCATTCCCAAGCCCAAGATCCTCCCCCCTGCGCGCCCCAGTCTCACGGACGCCTTCGGCAGCGTCCCGGTGGTCTCGCACGGCTACTGGATGGCCTCGCCCACGCCAGTGGCCTATCCGCCGTCCCGCAAGTGGCCCAGCGAGAACGATCTCTTTCCCACACTCAAGCGCCAGCACACGTTCCGCGGCGTCGTGACGCCGCGGTGCATTCTGGCCGAGGAGGAGGCGTCGCAGAAGTGCGAGGCGGACTTCTCCACAGGTGAGGAGGACTTCTCTGTGGACAGCATCGAGAAGCCAAGCCGGGAGCCCGTGAAGTACGTCACGAAGATCTACCTGGCGCGCCCGGCCGCCCGGAAGGCGTCGCTGGCGCCGGACGGCACGGCCATCTACGAGCCAGTGCTGCGTAAGTCAATGTCCAGTGATAGTTTCTTCCTGCGTGGCCCAAATCCCATGGGTGATCCCGGTAGTCCCGATGGAAGTCACGAGGACGCCAGGGCCAAGAAGCGCCGCCTGCCGTCGCGGCTGCCCGTGCGCCGCTTCTCCGCCGCGGATGGAGGGAGCCAATCGCCGCCACAGAAAATCCTCGCCACGAGTCCTCTCACGCCCTGAAACGACCGCCACGACTCTTGACTTCCACACTCACTCTCAAGCATCACACTAATCCCTCTTCCCATCACACAAAACTAACTCCATCCGCTCACAGTAGTCCTTAGCGTTGTGTTCTATCGTAGTGTTTACGTAGTTTACTTCCTCTGTATCCTCCCGAAGGGTGACTTAAAGTTGTGTCCTTGGAAGTTGGTCGGAAATGGCTTTTTATGAGCGATTTATAGAAGGTTTATTAAACTCGCATAATCACTAGACTTTCAGTCACTCTTCGGTGTAGTTTAGTTTGTGTTCGATTTTACTATTTTTATCTTATCTATCGTAGTTTTCCTATCTCTGTGATAACATACATTACTTAACCGTATGCAAATGAAGAGTGGGCAGAGCCAGAAGAGGAGGAGAAATTGAGTTTATATGAACATCTCATCTAAAATCGTATGGTTTCAGAGTCACTAACATTGCTTAAATCGAAACGATTAGTCAAAATTTCTCACTAAAGTCGAGCAGTGATTTCGGCTCTAATTTTTCAACTTTGCAATAATAAAATTGTCCTGAAACTCTGGCTGTGCCTGCGAATAAGAATGCAAAACCCGAAAAACTAAAGATCAAAATTTAATCTTAAGGCAATTAGGAGCTAGATTTTTGGCAAATCACACAAATAGACAAGAAACTGTGTTGCAAATAGATTGGAATGTATTGTGACTAACCCTTGGGAAGCCCAGTAGATTGTTTTTTTCACCCCTTTTCTTTTGCTTCACTCGTATTTTAGACCATTAAGAAATCGCACTCTCTCATTTTGACTCTACATTTTGACGAATTTCGATGTCTGCTGAATGCAATTGATCGAATTGACAGACACAAGAAGACTGATTTACAGAACTATTTCTTCCCTCTTTTTTTGTTTTTTTCTTTGTTTTCTTACCTTCTTTTTCATCATTTAATCTACCAATTGCTGTGGATTCGGTGAAGTTAAGTGTGACTGTATTTCTTCTAGATTCAGAACTGGTTGAATCGCCGTACAATCATATTTACGGGCGGATTCCGCTGCCCACGCGCGGCTACATTCCTCCGCCGCCCAGGACAATGTACATCGGCGAGTGGGATTAAGCCTGATCCTCGGGACACGAACCGATTTATCATTTCTCAATCACCCCTCACTTCTCTCCACATTTCTCTCTCTCTGTACTTGATGTAATGTTTTTTTTTACTCATTGTCTGGAGAAGTTACATCCTTTCGTCCTTGTTGTGTGCAATTCAATAGATTTCAAATCCAGGCAAAGCGCATTGATTGATTGAATTGGTGCAACTCCGGACGAAAGTGTATATCTCGAATTTAAGTCACAAGAAACAAGAATTCTATTATATTTTGATTGCGAGAAAAAAAACCTTCTTTTTGTGTGTAATGTGCTTAAGATGAATAAGTTTTGTTAAAAAGTAGATCAAAGTGTTTTTTTTTTAGTTAAAAAGGAGAAGAAATTTTTTTAACATGGCGCAAAAAGCTATTACATTTATAAAAGAAAAATTAATTTTTAAGTAATGTATGTTAACTAGAAAGTTCATATCTTTATATTTTATTATTATTTTCTATGATTATTACTTTGTTTTTGGCGATAAAAAAAATTTCGTATAAGTGTTTTCGGATACAAAATAACCCCAATTTATTCGCAAGACAATTCGAACTTGTTGCGGATTGGCTGAGAGGAATTTCGGAGATGAAATCTCGAAACTTCTCAGCCAATCACGCGATTAGCGTTGAAGAGGAATTGAATTAGTTTTCGACAACTATTAATCCAAGAGACATCCGAGAAGGAATTTCGATATCTTATTGTAAATATTCATATATTTTTTTCTTTAACATCATTTATAATTATAGCACAATTATGTTTTTTTCTTTTTATATATGATTTCGAAAATATTTTAGCGGATAGTGTGAAAACTGTGTAATAAATGAGACACTCAAATACCGATTTAAATACTCAGCTTAGATTTTTATCCACGAGAACACATGAGTGAGAATCTCTATTAAATTATTTATAGTTATTTCCTCATTTTTCCTCTCTTTTCCTGTAAATTCTCTCAGAGTGTAATCATTTGTGGGCGGAAAGGAGTGAAGAATTGTTCGATGTGATTTTGTTAACGTATTTTGGACAATTCTCCCTCGTTTCCACCCCCAAAACCCCTCTTCCTAATCACCTGTTCTGGTAAAACCAATTATGCTAGCAATTTTATATGATAGAGACAAGATAATCGAATGTATTCTCCTTAATTCTTCAATGTCTTTCCAATTGAGACATGACAAAATACTGAAGATAGTGAAGATATCAAATAAAAGGTGTTGGTGAATATCTCACTTGGAGTCTTTTATTTCTCCTCAAGATCTTACATGAACATGTCGTCGTAGCCGGGCGGCGGCAGATGATCGTTGTCCGGATTGCCAGGAAGACGTCGTGGGCGTCCGGGATTCGTTGGCAGGGGAGCGAAAGGGTCGAAACGCGCTCCGGGAGGCACAGCACCCGGTGGCAAGCCACCTGGAATGCCAAATCCTGGGTCTCTGAAGCCTCCAGGAGGTGGGAAGTGTCCATGGCCAGGCCCGGGGAAGAGCATTCCGCCACCAAGACGTCCAAGAGGATCCAAATCTCCTCGTCCAACGCTGAATGGATCAGGAATTCCACGATTTATCCCAATTCCTCGATCCTCCAGCAGCGGATTCCTCTGTGGTGGACTTCTGGAGGGCTCTTTTGGTGTCTGATTCGCCTTGGGTGTCAGAAATTCCTCATCGATCTTCTTCAGCACATTTGGCGCATCATTGAGCACTTCCGTGAGATTCCCCGACCTCGCTCTCACCGTCTCGCCAACGTTGAACTGCACATTGGTCACTTCCTGACTCTTCACGCTCAGCAGATTGAACAATGCCACTTCCTGAGTCTGTAGCGCTGTGAGGATGAACAATTCTCCCCGTCTCAAGTACCTCAGCTTGTACACATCGCCCTGGCTGCTCCAGTCCTCCGGCAGGAGTTCCGATCCTCTGTCCGTATCCGCGAGGGTCTTCTGTAATTGTATGTCAAAGCAATGCATCAAGAATTGTATTGAAATAATAAATAATTGCGTTTTTTACATCGTCTCCAATGCTGAGGCAAGAGAATCCATTCCGGGTCATGTGCCAGTGAATTACCGCCACCAGAACATCCAGATCACTCCTTATATCGTTCGCGATAGTGCGTAAGAGCAAACTCCAGCCAAAGTAGTCACTCTCCATTGCGAATCACAGAGAATTTTGAGGGAAAACCGAGAAAAACGAGCTATTTATCCTGCTTTTGATCGGTGACTTGCTTGTTTTTGTTTTCCTGGATGGACTGTCAGAAAACTTGCATGCATGCAAAACTTCAACACCGGCCGAGTTTCTCCGTTGAGTCGCCCAGTGGCGCTGCAATACAGATTGTTTGTAATCGAATATTTTTGTCTAGTCCGTTTTTCCGTCTATTTACTGATCCGAATGGCTCATTTTCTTGGTCGTATTGGCAAGGAAGTGACTCGTGGTAGTCCCAATAGTGAGGATGTGTTTTTATTTCAAGGCTTAATTTATGAAAAATTAGTTGATGTGGGGAATGTAGTGTCATTTTTTCGAGGTTAGCTTGGCTTCATGCGAATTTTCCAGGAAAATTGATTTATTTCACCTTTTCCAGCTATTACAAAGGTTCCTCAGTATTCGCTGAAGAGAAGAGAAGATGCTGAGAGTGGAGAAGTCTTCCTTGAAGTATATTTTAGCCCTTTCTATGACGAAGGGTCAAATTTAAAGGAAAAACGTCGATTGTTTCATGTGTTCTTCAGAACCAGAGCAATTCCTGAGGATTCTGAGACCCCACAGGAAGCTGTAGAATTCTCCACACTCTATGAGAATCTGCGGGAGGCTCACAGTGAAGATTTACTGTGTGATGAAGTGCTGGAAGATGTTCAGCATGTGAATCTGAAGCCAGAATTGCGTCCTTATCAAAGGGATGCCGTGAAGTGGCTTCTCCACCGGGAACTGGGCAGAGAATACCTCCCGTCGGACTATGAGGAGGTGTTTGCCAACAATTTGAGCAATCAGGTATTCTTCTACAATCCCCAATCGATGGACATTGTGGACGGCGTTCCGGGAGCCATCGAAATCCCCACGGGCGGCATTTTGGCGGATGAAATGGGTCTGGGAAAGACTGTTGAGATGCTGGCGCTCATTCTCAACAATCCCCGGAGTGACGTTGAGAAGCCGGATGAGATGAGCTTTGATCTGGACGATGAACCACTGGCAAGAAGAGCAGATTTGATGCACAGAAAGATTCAGTGTCTGTGCAAAGGGAGGAGCAAAGTGAGGAATAGAAGGCAGAAGAATGAGTTGATAAAGTGCTCAAAGTGTGGCAAAAGCCAGCACATGAGATGTGTGGGCTGGAGGACGCATGATCAGTGCGAGAAATACATTTGCCCGGAATGCTGGAAGAGTGAGCCTCTGGTGCAGTCCAAAGCCACATTTATTGTCTCTCCGGCGTCCATCAAGAGGCAGTGGGAGACTGAAATTGCCCGTCATGTGCGTGATTCCAACTTCCGTGTGCTTGTGTACGACGGAGCGACGAATTCTGGCTGGATTGATCCGCTGGTGATGGCAGAATATGATGTCGTCTTGACGGACTACAATGTGATGAGCAGTGAAATTTACTACACGACAGAGAATCAGTGGAACAAGAGTCTGCGACATGAGAAGAAGCACATGAATCCCGTGTCGCCACTGCCGTGTATCCAATGGTGGCGAGTGTGTCTGGATGAGGCGCAAATGGTGGAGGCTTCAGGCTCTCAGTGCGCTAAGATGGTGAAATGTCTGCCGACAGTGCATCGCTGGGCGGTGACTGGAACGCCAATTCAGAAGCACATCAGCAATCTCTACGGCTTGATCTTCTTCCTGGACGTCTATCCGTATTCGGAGATGAAGATGTGGCTGAAGCTGGCCAATCCCTTCACACTGGGCGATTGTGGACCTCTTGTGAAGGTGCTGAGGAAGATAATGTGGCGCACGTGCAAATCCATGGTGTGGGATCAGATTGGCATTCCGCTGCAGAAGGAGATTGTGCATTATGTGGTGATGTCGGATTTGCAGACGTTCTTCTACAGGAGTCAACACTCGCTGTGTCGCGATGCCTTCGTGCAGAAGGTGAAGCAGGTGGGTAGTTCGCAGACGATGATCAGGATGAATGCTCACATCCTGAACAAACTGCTGGAGCCGCTGAGGAAGCTCAGGCTGGATTGCACAGTTCCCAGTTTGATAAGAAGTCACAAATCCGATCAGACGACAGTGAAGAAGATTCTATCGCCCAACGAATTGCACGTTCATCTCGTGGGGAACAATGAGAATGAGGCAAAGAGTCAATTGAGAGGCATTGCGTCGTCTTTCAACGCCTTGGCGGGCATCGCCATGATCAGGGGTGATCTGGAGGAGGCTGAGAAGATGTACAAGGCAGTGCTGAGGAGGGCAAAAGACTATACGGGGAATATTTCTGTGGACTCTCTCCTTCAAATCCATGCGCTGCACAACTTGATTGAGGTGAATGAGTGCAAGAGTCAGGAAGAGGATGATTGGAAAGTGCAGAAGCAGAATTATGAGCAAGAACTGAAGCAACTCGAGGCGAAATACATCAATTCCTATCGCATGATGATGAAGCAGGTGAACAAGCAACGCAAGGAAGCCACGAAAGCCCTCAAAGCCATCGAGGTGAAGATGTCTTCGGTGGATGGAAGTTGGTGGCGAGATATCTTTTCCGCCATTCACAGCACAGCCAGAGAATCAGCGTTGTTGGAGAAGATCTACTTGGACGTGCAGAAGCACTTTGGGATCAATTTGGAAGATGATGTGAGGACAGCTCATGGAATTGACTATAAGCTGACGATGTGGCTGGATAAAGTCTTTGAGTGTCGCTCTGAAGTCAGAGAGGCGTTCGAGCAGCTCAAATTCTTCATGCACTATGTCAATCCTGAGCGTGTAATTACAGCGGAAGTGCGACAGAAGATTGATAAGCTAATCCGTGAGGCGTTCGATTGTCACTTGGATCGCGCGAAGAGCGAAGAATCTGATGTACCTGAGAAGTCCAAGCCAAAGAAGAGGCGCAAAGTGGTTTGTGAACTGTGTGAAGTGAAGATGAAGCTGAGAAATTGGGAGTGTATAATCTTCGATAAGATCTTCCTGGAAACGCTGAACAGTGTCCGTGGCAGCTGGAATCCTTCGGTTGAGGAGGTGATTGTGAGAACGATCTTGGCGCACGCGAAGAAGGATAACATCGCGCGGGAGTTGATAGGCGAGGCGGAATCGCACTTGGAGTACATTGAGGCGCTGAAGAAGGAGTACAAGGAGTACAGTCAACTGTGGTCTGAGATTGACTACACTGTGTCAGCGTGTGATGAGCTGAAGATGTGCAAATCGCGACTGGAGGCAATTCATCCGGGGGAATTGGAGAAGGGCGAGAAGAAGTCGTCAACGCAGATCTTCTTCTACGAACTCGATGATGCAGCTGAACAATTTAAGAGTGACTTGCAGATGGCCGAAAAGGAGTTTGTTCGGATTTGGGGAGTTCTCAAGTATCTCAAGCATTTGCAGAAGAACTCAGGCCCGGAAGTTTGTCCAATTTGCACACAAGTTCCAGAGGAGAAGGTAAAATTTGTTACTACTTCCTCAAAGATTCCTCAAAAATTGCCGAGTGACTTTCCTCTTGATAATTTGTAAAATCTCAAATCATTTTCGGGAATATTGAGAGTTAATTATATGTATTTCCTTTGCAGTATTCTGTCCTGGAGTGTGGACATCATCTCTGCATGATTTGCATGGTGCAGATGAGGAAGTTTCACAGACACTTCTTGACCTGCTCCGTTTGTCGATATCAGCAGAAGTACAAGGAGTGAGTTTGAGGGGAAATAATAGTTGAAAGAAATCTCTGACTAACAATTGTTCTCCTTTGCAGTGTCTACTATGTGACTCTGAATCGGATTGAGGCGGCTCAGGAGGTGTGCGTGAAGGGAGAACACTCGAATAAGATCTGCGACATGATCAAGTTGATTCTCACGCTGGTAAAGAATGAGCCAGATGTGAAGATTCTTGTCTTCTTTCACTGGGACGCAATTTTATCCGTGTTGAAGAGTGCTTTGGAGGAGAATGGCGTGAAATATGTGTCGGCAAAGTGTTCTAAATTCAATCAGGCGATTAAGGAGTTCAAGGATCAGAGTCTTGGCATCACCTGTCTTCTCTTGCCACTTGCCTATGGCAGCAAAGGACTGAATCTCGTGGAGGCGACGCATGTCATCCTGCTGGAGCCAATATTGAATCCGGGCGAGGAGAAGCAAGCCATTGGACGAGTGCACAGAATTGGCCAGACAAAACCCACTTTCGTGCACAGATTCATCGTGCTGGGAACGATTGAGGAGACCATTTATAAGACCATCTCGAGCGACACCACCGGAAAATGGGCAGCGCGCAATGTGACAACGGAAAACCTGATGGAACTCTTTGAACTGCCCTCGGGAGAAGAAGTAATGGACTGGGATGAGTATTTACAATGAATTAAGTGTTTGTTTTGCACCTTTTGCACGTAAATTATTTTTAGTAATACAACAAAAACACTGGATTTCGGTCAATTGATATGTCCTGTACATTCACAGCCACATTTGATAGGGTTTTGATGACCACGACGTCACTGGAAGCAACTGGGCAGGAATCTCTTGGCCATGTTCAGCACAGATGACCAGAGAGAGTTGCTTGAGGTGGTGAGATTGACGGCGAGGAGGAGAAAGGCGTAACTGATGATAAGAACCGTTGCTTTGTGGTTCATCAGCCACGTCATAACTGATCTCTCGGCGTTCTGGGCTGTTTTCCTGGGTTTCCGTCCATACACGAGCAGATATCGCACTCTGATGATCTCATTGTTGCTCACCACCATGATGTTCTTGGGGATCTTTGAATTCTTCGCCTCGTGGCACTTCACATGCGTCGGATGTTCAGCATATTCACACAGAGCGACGCAGGAGATGCTCTTGCCCAGCCTGGAGTGTGTCCACGTGGCCTCGGAGGGGCTGTAGGAGATGGACACGGACAGATCCGAGGAGAGATAGATGCCCTCGCCAAAGGCTGATCGCTTGTTGAGATGCTGCGCAAGACCAAAGTTCAGGATGGAGTGGAAATTGTGCGTCCGTGAGCCGTGGAAAGCGTATTTTGTGGGAAACTCGCTGGCGAATTCTTGGAATCTCCTCTCGGCGATGCTGTCTGGCGAGAAGTCCAGCCGGAAGATGTAGTTGGGACGCAATTCTCGCTTCTCCCAGTTGAATTGCTCAAGAACATGCCTGGCATCGATGGGATCGATGCGTGTCACTTGAGGATCTGGCAATTCCACGAGGAGCCAATGGAGGAAATCCACAACTTCCTTCTCTGGCCTGTTGTCAGTCTTCTCGAGGACTTCCTGCAGGGTTGGAATCTTCTTCAGCACCGCCACGACACTCTCAATGTCCACATCACCGGGTGTCGCGAAGGTGGGCGGAATGGGCTTCAAATCGCTGCCCAGATGGTAACTCCGCACCGAAGCCAGGCAGAAGAGAGATGTCTTCAGATCACACGCCTCAGCGTCCGTCCGGATCGCGTGACACACGGCGGTGAATTTTTCTTGCTGACTCAGTGCGTTTTCCGCACTCCTGGACATGATTTTCACTCTCAAAACAACCTTGTCAGACTGCCTGACAGACGCACACGAGCGCCGCGCTGGGAAGTGAAAAGCCAGCGATGAAATAGCAGACTTGTAGGCAATTCTACAGTGGTGGAGGGAGGAATAGAGCCAAAGGCTGCAACCAAATTGTATAATTTGTGAGGTGTTTTATTTTATTTTATTTTATTTACAAAGAAGTGAGAATTACTAAAAGTAATTGGAAGATTGCAAAATAGTGTGAAAAATGAGTGATTTTTTATTTGAATAAAAATATTGAATGGGGAAATTGCTATTATTTTTCACACAACTGTGTGACCTTTATTATTGTTGGTTATCAAGAGAACACCTGCATAAATGTGCAAATGGGCTTGATTTTTATCATTTCCACTGCATCGAGTGATTTTGACTGATTCTTTGGGTGCTGATGAATAGTGGAAGAACACATTTTGATGCCCTTTAGAGTAAATTTCATCGTCTTTCGGGCGCTCATGCGCCTTCGAGATGTCTCTCCAATTCTCTTTCGCATCTCCCTCTCCGCACAGGTCACTCCAGCGGCGGCTCGGGGACAGTGGCAGCGCTGAGTGGATTGTGCGGAGGCGAGCTTTCGTCCCCAATCCGACCCAGGAGCAACGTCAGCAGCGACGTCACGGACTGGCTGCTCCAGCCTCGGACAATCCCAACGGAGGTGTCGCGAGTGATCAGCCGAGAGACCCTTCCCAGTCAATCGCACTGCTGCCCAGGGACCCACGCATTGTCTCCAATCGCTGGTGATGGTGTCCAGAGTGAAGTAAAGCCTGGCTCTGCCCGCTGCCAAAGGCGACCATGAACGCTACACGCGCATAGAATTCGTGCTCCCCCGCCGAAAAAGCAGTGAGTTCGCAACAGTGAAGTCGTGAGGTGGCACAAGCTGTGCAAGAAGTAATTCTCTCTCTGAACAATGGAGCTCTTCCATATGGCACTGCGGACTGTCGGCGTTCTGCTGCTGTCGCTGATGGCGATGGCCAAGCACTCGCCCATCGGACGCTACCCAATCCTCATGCCCAATGTGCATCCAGACAGGGTGAGTTTTCCACACTGAGTGGGCAGAATTTTCCACCCACGCGCGCGTCCACCCCAAAAATTCCCTACAATATGTTCTCCCCTATCTTCGCGCGACGCAATATCGCTTGTCACCCTTTCTTTGGGTGGGAATTTGGGGTCGATTTTCGGTCACACTTGTGTTTGCCTTATTTTTGCCAAAACTTCTCTCAACAGTTGGTTGTGAATTTGATCTCAATATGACAATATTAGTGACGTGAAGAGTTTCTCAACATCAATTATCACCTGTGAAAATTTTTCACACACACACACCAAAGAACCGGTTTTAATCATTTGTTCTTTTTAGCCCTGAACAAAAAAAAGTCTTGAGAAATTCTACTTTACGTAACTTGTTGCTTGTTTTAAAAACAATATTTTCCCTGACTTTTTTTTACGCATGTAAAGCGTAATTCAGAAGACAGAAAAAGCGTCCAGCAAAGTTAAGAGGGAAAGTTGTATTTGATAAGAGAGTTCACAAGTTGTATCACAAGAAGAGCGATCTCTGACTCTTGGCGGTCTATTTTCAGTCAGAATACACATTATTATTTAATGTTATGCTGGGAAGACAAGTAAGGATTCCTTGGAAGTTGCTTCGCAAAGGAAAAAACATCTAAAAATACTCTCAAGAAATAATTTCTTATCATCCAAGAGTCAAACAGGAATTCATATACCTTTCATCTTCTTCTTCTCATAATGTGATGAAAAAGTTCAGCTTCATAGACTTTTCTTTCTAAGAAAATCATTTCATTTTAATGATATTTTCTCTCTGGGAATATAATTTGCTACCAACAGGAAGTTGTGGGGGCGGAAAGTGCAGAAAAAGTACGTCAATTAGATAAAATATCTCTCTCTGACCAAACAGAAAACTCATCATTATTCACTCTGGTCTTGAAAGCACACACTTCGTCCCAAATTCCTCGCGATGCGGGGCGCAGAAAAGCAGGGGTGGCGATAAGATAGTGGGCGTCATGTGAACAATTCAGGCTCACTCACACACCTTTAGAATTTTTAGCAAATCACCCCGAATTCTCTCACACTGCCAAAGACACACAATAAGCTGATTAGATTCTTAGGAAGCTTTTTCTGCCCCGGCGAATAAAGAACCCTCCCACCCGGCGTCCCCACTGCAAGTGGAGGCGCCGGGTTGCAGGACATGCCAAATCCGCAGCCTGAATTTATTGCCCAACCCTTCGGGCGGTGAAGAGTACCTGAAAATAGCATCAATACGTGGGCGAAGCAAGAGCGAAAATATATTCTGGCGGAAGCAGAGAAATCCGTCAAATCAACACGATGGAATTCAGTGTAAAGCCGAAGGGGAGCTTTCGGGACAGGTGAAAATCGATTATATAGCAATTGCTGGGGATTAACGGGAAAGCTTATAAACAACTGATTTACGACTTTCCTCTGCTGATTGAGATTCAATTAGCAAACAGCGTATTTAGTTTAGTTTTTCATGCACTTCACACTCGGATTAGAAGCCATATTTTAGCGTTTCAAATTATATTTAATGAGTACTAAATGGTCGTTGCAACTTTAATTTGATAACATATATTAAATAAGCTGTCAAAGTGTTATGAATTCGTAAAACTGCAATGGGCGGCCGCCAATGTAAGCTATGAAAAGCGTAAAGTTGCAACACTAAATTCGTAACTTTTACTAACTTTAATACGAAATCTGTAAAGTTGCAATGACCCATAATTTGCATTAAATTAAAGTTGAAACAAATAATATTGATGATGAACCACAAAATTAGTGTGAATGCAATTCTTCGGCTTTACTTTTGAGATCCGCTTCTTAGACAACAATTTGGTGTTTCATGTTGACAGTGAATTAAATTAAATCGAGAGCTTAAAGCTTCATTTGAAGCTTTAATCTCCGTGATCTCTCGCTCTGGGGTGTTTTGCTGAAGGCTCAGAGCCAAACAATTTATTTGCAAATAAGCCTGGGAGAAATGCAAATTCTCAACGCCCACGCACGTCAAGGCGAATTCTGGTGGAGATGGCGAAATGCCCAAAATACCGTGAAATTGAATGAGAGTAGTTGAAGGGATTCAACTAAACGTGCGCCCTCTGAAATTCCCTCGTCAACGGGCATTTTGTGGCTGGTGAGGTGGAAAAGTGTCTCATCAACTCTGTTTCTCTTTCACACGCACGCACACGCAGCCGGAACTGTACCTGTGCACCCCGATTAAAGTTGACTACACCAAGAACTACTACATCGTGGGCTTCGAGCCGAACGCCACCATGAATACGGCTCATCACATGCTGCTGTACGGATGCGGAATGCCAGGATCCAGCCGACCCGTGTGGGATTGCGGCGAGATGTCTCGACATGCCCTGATGAGCGATCCGGATGAGGAGTCCTTCAGTCCCTGCGGCAAGGGTTCCCACTCGCAGATCATCTACGCTTGGGCCAGAGACGCTCCCAAGTTGGAACTTCCCGACGGCGTGGGCTTCAAAGTGGGCAAGGATTCCCCGATAAAGTACATCATCCTGCAAGTTCACTACGCCCACGTGGACAGATTCAAAGGTTTGTGCTGATTGCTAGCCTGTCTGTGGCGTCCTTCTCATCCTTTGCCTGCGTCTTTCAGATGGCAGTGTCGATGATTCCGGCATCTTCATTCACTACACACTCGAGCCAATGCCGAAGCAAGCTGGCGTCCTGCTTCTGGGCACAGCCGGTGAGATTCCGCCGCACAGCGTGGAAAAGATGGAAGCGTCCTGTGACATCACGGAGCACAAGGAAATCCACCCGTTCGCCTACAGGACTCACACTCATGGCCTGGGGAAGGTCGTGTCTGGCTATCGCGTGAGGCGCGACGATCAGGGCGTGGATCACTGGACGATGCTGGGCAAGAGAGATCCTCTGACGCCGCAAATGTTCTATCCTGTCGAGAACTTCGAGCCGATTCGCTTTGGCGATCGCCTCGCGGCCAGATGCACCATGAAGAGCAATCGGGATCGCATTACGAGAATTGGGTAAATATCAACCACTTCTTGGACACTTTTGTACGCCCCAAAAGGCATTTTCCATCGCTTTTTCGACTCCTTCAAGTGCTTCTCTGATTTGATGATTTTAAGGATTCTTTAATCGACAGAATCTGTTTTAAATCAATCACATAACCTCGAAAAAGCCATAAAATTGATTATTCCAAGCAAAATAACTTAGAAAATACCTCAATTTGTTGAATCAGAGCATTTCTGATGCAAATTTTGCAATGTTAAACATGCCACTAATCCAATATCACTTGATATTGATATTCAGAGCCACGAACGAGGACGAGATGTGCAACTTCTACTTGATGTACTACGTGAATAACGATGAACCTCTGGAGACGAAGTACTGCTTCTCGATGGGACCACCGGCGTATCGTTGGGACTATCCGAATTCCGATCTCAACAACATCCCCGATCTGGAGGCCAGTCACTTATAAGGGGTGGCAAATAAGGGTGGCTCGAGGAAGTCCAGCACAATCTTAAGGGAATCTACAGCTAAGATAAGTCAATCTGATTAAAAACTAAAACCTGTACTTAATTTAGAAACCCAATGACAAAACCCCGTGAAATATTCCTGAAAATCACCCTCAAAACCAATTTGAGGGCAGTTGAATCCAATTCATATCCTTTTGAGTGTGTATTGACGAGAAGGAAGAGCAGCTATTTTAGAGTAAAACTTTTTAGTGTGTGGAAGAATTTTCACATTATCCCCGTGATGGTGAGATAGACATTGATTTAACATATATTCATAGGATATATTTTTCTATATGTGTACTTTTTCCAAATCACCCACTTCTGAACCTTAAATATATCTTTGCATCCTGGCAAAAAAAACGCAACTCTACATAATGTGAATATCAAATTCAACTATACAATTTATCTAGTCAGAGATAAGAGTAACTATATAAAGATGTTAGAGTGACAGAAGACTAATTAAGGTGGATAAATCAGTATAAAGAGTACTATATTTTGATGTGGAAATGGAAATAATCTTTAAAGATAGATTTGTATTGTCCGGGAAAAGCGCATGTTGGCTGAATGGTACAATTTTGAATAAGAAAAAGAGAGCTATATAGGAATTGTGTGGACGATAATGAGAGTTGAATGGTGAGAAGAGGAATAGAATTCTATTTTGTACTTTTTCTGAACATTTGTTGTGTTGATTTTATTGTATTATTATCATTATTATTATTGTTGACGGAGTGCTTTGGAAGGTGGATAGAAAGTTTATGAAAATATCAATTATTTTACTGTATAAAAACTATTCCAAATATTGTATATCAAACATTATTAAATTTATCTATGAACTTTAGAGATATGAGTGTTTTAATCGCCCCTCGACGGTTGGTTGTCGTCTGAGAAAAATGGAGAAAAATTAGTACAATTCAGCAGCTGAGACGCAGTTGGATCTCGAGGAAGTTTTAGCACAAAGAGGGCCGAACTGGAGACACAAAGCTGAATGGCAATCGAGAGGGTGCAGAGGCATTTGCACCTTCTTGCAACCCCGTGAAGAGGGCGAGGGCGCGAAGGGTGGAAAATGCTGAAGGGTCCGCGTTAAATGGCCCAATTATGCGTGGCGCGTCCCCTTTGCCGAGTGTGTCGCTTGTTGATACTGCTGTGAGACGCGGGGATGAACCCCAAAAAGTGGCAAATCTCACTTTCCCTTTTGCCAGGTTGCAACCCTTCTTCTCCGCCATTGACTTTCCCACCCAATTCACGGGCAATTGTGCCAATTTCCCGGAGAACCTGCCCCAGAGAAAGAGTGTCGGGAAGGCTTTTCCTCGCGATCTGGATAACTTGTTGCAAGTGACCTTCTGAGTCCCAATTAAATTTATTAACGAGAACACACAACACCACCTGGTCGTTTGGCTTTGGCGCGTCGGTCTTGTAAGACTGAGAGAGAACTGCTAATTTCTAGTCATTCAACCGTGCAACTCAAAAGGCTCTCGTCTCTTTTTTCTTGGATTCCTCCTTAATTGCACATGAAGAATTCCAGTGTGATGTTTTGCGGTGGAAAAAGGAGAAAAGGCCGAGAAAGAGGCACAATATAGAGGAAAATATCCTCTCCAGAATACTAAACAGCCTCCGTTTGGCGCGAATTTTCCACACACGCATCGCATCGTGAAAGGAATCTCAGTTGACAAAGCCTGGGAATTCCCTCTGATCTCTGTCTCTCTCTCTCTCTCTCTCTCTCTGGACTCATCCAGCATTTCCCACACGCATCTTCGAACAATGACTGAACAATAATGCATAAATATTGGCCCGGAATCGACAATGTCGCCAGGCGAAAATTCAATTTGATTTCCCATCCATAAAATGTGTGTCTCTGCCTTTGTCCCGGGAACTCCTGACGGCGGCGCCTCTTGTTGAGCATTCGCCCCATTCGCCTTGAGGCCCTTTGTCAGGACGCAGATTTGCACGCATTTCACCATTTGGTGCCCTCGTGCCGAAGAAGCAGCTGATCTTTCGACTTTCAGTGCCACTTCATTAAGTCTCCTCCTCTTCGTGTGACTCTCAATTGAACACCTTTGAGGCGATTTTGCAGCTCCCATCTGAGAATTATCGCTGCAGATTTTGCTGGACGGAGATTTCAAATCCTCTTTTCCACTGCGATGATTTACCTAATGAATTACTTTCAACATTTAACGAATAATGGAAGAGATTGAATCCTTATTTTATTCAGATTAGAAGGAAATAACTTAAAAAAAGGTTCTTTACAATACAATTTAACGTGCATAATTTGCTCAAATAATGTTATAATATGATTTTATGAAAGATTTTGCCAAAAACCGAGTTTCCCTTCAAAATATCATTTTTAAATACATTCCTGAAGTTTTTTCTAAGAAATATTTAGTGATTTAAGTATAAAACAAGGGAGAAATATTATAAAATTTGATTATTTTCTCCAAATATTAACGCCAAAGGGCAGCAATTTTAACTTTAAAGTCATGTTAAAGTTCCGATTATATTTCGTCCTAATTTTAGGTGTTCGAATCCAGCTTGTAGCAAATTTTGTGATTGTTTTTGCTATTTAAATTGTAATTTTTCTTCAATATTCTGAAATTATTTAAAAATAAATAAATTTTTAATCAAAAATATTCAGTTTTTAATTATTTTTCAATTTTACTTGGAAAATAGGGATTTTTTGATTATTTTATTCAACAATAACAGAATGTTTGAAATCTAATTGACTGTTTAGTGGAAACGATAATCAAAATTCCTCCAAAAAGCCTATCTCTCCCATCTCTTATCATTCCCGGTAACAATCCGACGCATTCGAGGTCTGAATTCACAATAATAGCTACCAATGAAGAGCAATCAGCGGTGTTTTGCATTAACATCATATGAATTACTATCGCCAAGTTATAGTTATTAAAGCGAACCCGGCAATAAAGTGATAATAAAGTATGGACATTTATTGTCTCTCCGCCATGGCGGGACAGGAGGTGCGGAGGAGAGAGAATACGAGACGAGTACTGGTGATGGAGGAGAGTTGGAAAGAATAAAATAATAAATATAGGACGAATAATAAAAACACTCTTCCCAAGCCATATGTTCGACTTTTCAGAGTTTACATTCGGCGCGCAGACAAATGCACTCCTGAGCGGCCTTTTCTTCTCCGCCACGGCGTGCGCTTTTGGGGTGGGCAAAAAGGGGTTGATCTTTTGAGGAAATCGAGATACTCGCGGGATTAATGAATTAATAAGTTCAGGCTCTGCTGCGATGAGTGACAGAGGAAATTTTCCCCAGCGTGACGTCGCTCAAGACACTGACCATCATCGTGTTTCCAGTGAAATTACACAAAACCGTGGGGAATGCAAACATCTTCATCGCGAAGAGCACTTTTCCTCTCTGTGTCGGCAAAATGCATTTAATTCCACGCACCGAGAGACATTTCCATTCAATTTAATTAGGCGACTAGTATCAAATATTCATAAATGCTATAAAGTATCATTATTGCATACATTGGTACAGAGCCCGGAGTCCCTCCGTGTGCCGCAAGACCTTTTTTCTGCTCTCCGCCACGCACACAGCCACGGCTTATCGTGGCAACAACAATGTCTGATGCCGATATATAAGACTTTTATGTACAATTTATAACATCTGCTCCGAAAACTGCACATTTCATGTTGTCGGCAGCAACGACCTGGCTTGATGGCTCATGCTTCAATTCTTGTTCCGTTGCTGGCGGGAGCGACGAGGCGCGGAGCGGCGAGAAATGTAACTGTGTTCCGAAGGATGATGTCAAGGGGCTCTCCTTTGCCTCCGCCAGTGCCATCCAGAGAGCTGCGATATGTATTTTGAATAAGAAACGCTGAGCGTCTCGGAGATCGGCAAATTTAATTGTGCCAATTATTCAGGACATCAAGAGCTTCTCCTCTTCTTGAGTGGAAAACCAGCAAAGAGTCCCTCTCAAGACATCTCATTTGTGGCCCTCAACAGACCCAGAGAAATACAACACAACTTCTGTCCGGCTTCTTGACAATCCCTCATCCCCAAAACACACGCACTTCACAAGCTCTCTAATTCAATTTCCCCGCCTGGACTTTGCCCGAGAATTTTCGGACCCAATTCAATTTTCATTACATTTTAATCGCGCAGTGCGGAGAAGAAGCCTCGAAAATTAGACTCTGTCACTGCGTGGAAAATTCAATCAACAACCAGCAAGAAGGGAAAGTGCGAGAAAATTCGGGGAAAATTTTCAATTTGGCAATTTGTAATTTGACAAACCTCAGCCAAACGAATTTATTTCGCACAAATTTAATAAACATGCCTCCAATTTTTATCTCGCGTGACTTTCCACCTTCTTGTCCATCCTTCCGCGGGCATCTCAGCCGGCACCCCATCGGGTGACACTCGGAAAATGTCAGAGATCTCGCTTCAGTGGGAAGTTGCTAGGCAACGGCGGATTCTCTGTCATTTTGGGAAATGGCAAAGCAACTTTGGCGCACGCATTGCCAGAAGAGACTGGAAGAATGGCTGAAGAGGACGTAAATTGTCCATGGAAGAAAGGAACGGTTTTCGAGCCCAGTTAAAGCTACAAATGTTTTGCTCAACACATTAATTAAGTAATGAAAGAAAGATGAAGCAAGTGTTCTTGGAAAAAAAATTCTTTTTGAAATGATTTTACCTAATTGAAATAGTTTCTGACCAGAAACTATAGTTTTCTCATAAGCTCCGCCCACTGCGATGCCCCGCCCAATTTCAGGCTGACTAAATCTTATTGTAAATTTAACGTAAAATTGCCAAATCAATAAGGAAGAATCAAGAATCAAACCAGCTAAATTGTTAATTTTTAAAGGTTTTTGCCGTGTTTGCATACAAATTCCATCCAATATCTTTGCTATGGGTATTCAATAAAATACTAATTACTTAGAGTTTTCTTGATATTTAATTTGATTTTCCACATTGTGAGTTGAGAATGCACTAAAAAGCGCCCATGAGTCATAAATAATACGACTGTGCGCCTGAGAAAGTTGCGGTGGCAAAAGAGCGGGAAATTGCGTGGCCGGAAGGAGAATTCTGGTTTTGGGAATCAGTGGTCCTGAACTGTGCAGAATTTATGATTATGGCATGAGAATTGAAATTGAATTAGAAGCAAAGTGGAAGGGAGAAAGAGAGAGACTTCTGAGAAAATGTCGAGTAAATTTTCAATGGTTCAATGCACTCATTTGGCGGAAGTTGGCCTGGATGGTGGAATATGTAATTAGGGCTCTTGTACAACATCAGGACATAATTGCAACACGCAGGACATTTGGCGTCATCTTCACCAGCAACTGCTCATTCGCTGGGTTTTCCTTTCGGGTCATACGTTTTGGCGTATTTGTAATCATTTTCGGCAAATGGGATTTGGGCGGATGATGCGCGACGGGGAAATGCCCATGACTTGTGACACACACACCAATAAAATCCAGTGAATTGTAAAAATGAATTGAGAGAAGTTTGAGGAAAAAAATGCGGCAAATGGGAAAGTTTTCCTCGGCAATTCGGCTGGGATGACACAAGGAAAAAAAAGTGTGGGCGCCGAGGCTCGGGAATTTATTCACAACTTTTGCAATATCGGGACTTGTGAGAGTGATAAAATCATAAATTCCACGGTGAAAACTTTTCGGGGTTCGGCATCAACTGCCAGTGACATTAAGGAGGCCCATATCCAGGGGGTGAGGGTGGAAATGTCGCCGCTGTGTAGTGGAGTAGTGGGCCAAAGGTCATGGGGAGGTCCCAGGATGAGTCACAGGGCGGCGTGTTGGGGGAAGACGCCATCGAGAGCGGCTCAAGCGGCTCTCATGCACTTCTTGCGCTTGGCTGCAGCCGGCAGTTGGCCCAATTAAGAGTCCATTGGAGGAGTTTTTGTCCCGCACGCCATCCCGCTAACGGTGGCTGAGGGCTTCGTGAGGGCATGCAAAAAAGCCCGGGCCAGATTGCGTGGCGCGCAGTCAAAAGGCCTGATTAAAGTGTCAACACTCCTCGAGGCGAGATCGTGTGCGATTGTGTGGGATTTCGGCGAGTCCTCGAGGGAGGGTGACTCTCCGGGACGCTGCCAAGTGTTGAGTCACAAAAAAGAATCTCAACACCCTTGGCATTTCACAAAGGAGACTCACCTTTGCCGCCGCTCCGTGCCCTTCCGCCTCGTTCTGTGCACCTCAGCGCCGAGGCCAAGAAGTGCACTGACCCCTTTTCGCAGAATTCCTCAAGCGGCACCCCGAAGAGACCCTCAAAACTGTCCTCAAGAGAGATTTCCACTGTCTTGGCGCCAAAGTCGAATTTTGAAATTGGAAATCTTTCCACAGTTCCTGCAAATTAAATAGAGCCACCCAAGCTAGAGGTCTGAAATTTTCCACCAATTTTCCCTCATTAATAAGTAATTATCACACCGAGTTTGAAGACATTCGGCCTAATCCTTGATCCATTTGTGACGCTAAAACCGAACCTATGCATGAACAACTCACCTGAGTGACATTTGAATGTTTTCCACTCATAAGTATGTTTTGTGTTCTTAATAGGTTTTAAACGTATCCGAGGTGTCTTCAAGATAATAATCCTGTCGATTTTCGTTTATTATCTCGACTTTATAAGTGTTTGATATCAAAATTTGATAATTTATTTTATTAATTTGAGGATCGTGCGGAGGTTTTTCGGCTGTACAAGAAAGGACATTTAATCAGGGAAATAACCTGAAGGACCTCTTATTCCAGAAAGAGTTCTGCAGACCGAACCTAAAGGGTTAACACAAAAGACAGAGTCTTTGTCATAAGACGAGAGATCTTTAAAAATTTCCCATTAATGATGGATCGGCGGTTTCCCACTCATTTCTTTTGTCATCTTTCCGCCACCCCCAGAATTTTCCACCCCACATGGCCGGCCAGCGCGTAATTATCCTAATGGCCACCCTGGAGGCTCGAACTCGATCCAAATTTGCCAACCAATTCTCATTTATCCAATTAAAATTGACGCCTCATTAGGGAAGCTGGCCGGAAAGTGTGTGATTGCGTGACTTTTTCTGCGGAAGGCGATGCCAAAGTCGGATTATCGGGGCCTATTGACTCTGTCTCAGGACACCTCATCCTGTCTGACCCCTTGTCATCTCCACCCACTGACGCCTCTCTGTCTCCCAGGACATCCCGAATCCCGATGCTGGCGCTCGAACAGAGAGAGAATATTATAGTCTCAGCGAAAATTGTTTAATGTGCCCAAGGAAGAATTGGCAGACAAACTCCTTTTCTTATCGGGGGAAGGAACACAACAAAGGGATGAGCAGTTTTGAGTGACATGCGAGAACAAAGAATCCTTTTTTCGGAACTAAACAGTTTAATTTGCATACTCGTTCCCATTATGTGCCATTCGTTCAGGACTCTCTGTATTAGTTATGTTGCCCAACTCCTCTGGAGGCTCAATATTCGGTGATTTTTAATGCTCTCAGCGCGACGTAATTTTCCAGTGACGCTCCAGGAAAATCCATGAGTCATCGCCGAAAATTGCATTGAAAGTGAGAAAATGTGGCAACGGCGGCGAGTGCAGTGCAGACAGGAAAAACCGTCCTGACAAATGATACAATTCAAGGACATTGCTTTTTGGGAGAGCAACGCGATCAACGCAGAAAGGTTGCCGACGCCTGTGAGCGAGAGGGAAGATGTTTAATAACCGATTTAAATTATTTCCTCCCTGGCAAAAGGCTGAAAAACACAATTTTCTGTCTGATATTCACGGCTCGTGGGATCAAAATATTTTGGGGGGTATTGAGAGAATTCTTGTGGGGTTGCATCCTCTTCTCCGTGAGGTCCTTTCCATTTGGCCTGATGTGGCGCCGTGGTTGTGGGGTTTTCGGCTCTCTGGAGTGGTGAATTTTCCGCAATGAGTCTCTTGTTGTCTGTAGCGATAATATTTGACAAATGCAGAGTATAGTTCGGTGGTTTTTTTGGACTGTTGGCAGATCGATGATAGTAAAAGCCGGCATGTGTGCGTCTGATACACTCATCGGCTCTCTGTCTCTCTCCCTCTCTTTCTCAGCGATAATTTGGCGACTCTCTCTCGGCACCCCTCGTGCCCCGCCGAAGGGGATGCGAGACGGAGCTCGGCCGTGACGTGCGCGCGCGAGAGAGACAACGGGTGTGCTGAGTGCGACGAGCCAGAGCAGGAAGCCCAGTGAGTGCGTGTGTGTGAATCAACCACCGTGCAAAACATCCACCGGTCCGATGGCGGCCGAGGGGCCGTTCGCGGTGCGTTCGGGCGAGTGTCACAAACACTCACGAAGCCTGCACCAGGCGCCTCATTAAAATTGTATGTAAGTGGCGCAATGGTACACAATGGTCGATGGAGTGCACTGGCAACGGTTTCACTACCCTGATTGGTGGCTGATGCCAGCTGCTCTCTGGCTCTCAACGAAAGCGAACTTTCCGGGGGGTTCGACTCGGGCTGTCGTCTCTCGCTCAGTTCAGTTGTTGTGTGTCTCTCGGTACAGTGACAGTTGCGTGTTGCCAACTGACGAAAGGTAGCGGAGGCAAGTTGTATTAGGAGGGACAAGAGATTAGAGACATTTTATACTTTCTCACACACAAACATGTTTTCCCTCAACCACTATCTCTGAAAGATTGTTTTTCGCCTGAGCAAAATTTTCCTAACCTTCCGCCGCATCACATGGAAAAATGCAAGTCTCTGTCGGGTGATTTTGTGTGACAATCTTTGTCCCAGTGATTCTCCCAAATATGCTATAAGTTTCTCTCTGTCTCGCGGCTAAACTCACAGTGTTGTTGCTCACAAGTTCTCACGACCTGATCATGGGGCCAAACAGACCATAGGATACGCCGCCGAGAGACTCTCTCTGTCCAGGAACGCATGTAAGTCCACACACCGAGAGCCCCCTGAGCCAGGGGGGGTCACAATGAGTGCGGGGTGGTTTGTTGTTGACACGATAATTGCAAAACGAGCTCACGTAGCCATCGCGACGTAATAAATGGCATCGTGACGACGTGACTTTCCGCCCCCACCGAACTTCCGATGCTTCCAAGAATTGCTGTGCGCGCCCTTCTGAGGATCCCCTGACTAACCATAGAAATTGTGAATTTTCAAAATTACATCTAAATATGTACCTATCTCGTTAGCTGGCGAAATGAAAACATCTCTCCTAATTTCTACCTCACCCAAATATCCATTCCCGTTTGGAAATTGTCTGTTTTCGTTGTATTTTGCCGCCCCCGCGAGTCTGTGCAATTTCCACTGTTGTCAAAGTGACGAAAATCGATGAGAAATGAAATTCAATTGAATTTCCCGACGCTCTCCGGTTTGGGGGAGGGGGTGGTTTTTCCTGGTGAAAATTTTTGGGAGTTCTCTCATTTTTGTTTGGCGAAAAAAAAGCGTCCGCACACGACTTTCTCGCAATAGTAACACAATCGAAGGCAAAAACACCATTTTATTGATTTTATTTCCAACGTAACACAACAAAGGCAAACATGAAAATGTACGCTGTAGTGGTGGAATTGAGTGTTGAAAAAGGAGAAAAATAGGAGAGAAAGAGAGTGAGAGAGCAGGAATTCTACCTACAATTCTCTGTGTCTGAGGATTTGATAAGATTTTTCCCATCTATTTTCGTATGTGTGCGCGGCGACATTTCGCAGGAATCTGTAATATTTCCCGTGAAATCCAGGTGGGCGCAATAAATGGGAATTAATTTGGGCAAGAGAAGGCAACTCTTGGGAACATGTCTCTCTTGGCTAGGCTAGGTTTGAGGTTATGCAGCTCCCTTGGCGTGTGATTCATGCCTCATCATCATCTCTCGAACACCAGCTAGGCTTGAATGCTCAGCACGAACTCACCGACGACATCGTCAGAGTTCAAGTTCAGAGTTTTCGTCCTACTTCTGTTTTCGGTTGTGTTTCTATTTATAAAAGCTCCACATTCTCCTTCGATGACGTGGTGTGTGTGTGTGTGTGTGTGCCGATCCAACCCCCCTCGAGGGCCTGTGCTCATCTATATTTGGCGCGCTTCATTTGTGCGGGTGCGGGTTTGTTGATGTGTCTTTTCGCGCGCATTTCTGGGCGACCCCCCAAAAGGCTCCACGGTCTCGTCGGGTCTTTCACTTTCCACCAACACACCACTGTCCTTTCTCTCTCGTCAATGGGGCTCTTCGCCTTCTCCACCACCACCGACTGTCTCGGGGGAGAAATTTCGGCTCTCTCTCACTCGCTCTGTGTGAGTGAATCCGGAAAAGTTTCACTCTCAGCTCCACTGGAGCGTTTATTGGCCCGAGGGGGAGGCTTTTGGCAGAGGGTGGGGGGGTGCTCCACGTGCCGTGCTTTAAGGGGGGCCATTCACCCACACTGCCGAACTTTTCAAGCCATGCTCCGCATTTGTAATTTATTGTTGATTCATTTTCGTATAAAATTGCAATTTACAACTTGGTCTTTCGTCTCCCTTTTCTGACTGGCCTCAAGATTCAGGGGCCACCAATTCGCACCTAATAGGGGCCTAGCCAGGGAGAGTTAATCCACCAAATTAGGGATCTATTGAAGTTTGTCCACAATTCGTGAGATGGTTTTTAGTTTTTTTTTCGACCTCTTCACCAAGGATTTTGACCGCTAAAAGTTCAGCTATAAATTTGAATCTCAAATACAAACACGTGAATATCAATTTCGAGGGAACTTTTATTCAAGGAAACACAATGAAAATTGAAAAATATATCAAAAGCACGCACTTAACTTTGTGTCGTGCCGTTAAACAACATTCCTAAGCTATTAAGCTCACAATTTTCCCTGTGAAAATATCTTCCCAGTCTAGCAATTCACAAATCACTCGCCCCTTCGCAAAGAAGAGGACGTCCTGGCTTGCGCCTCCTGAATATCCTCTCCTCTGGGTTGTATGGGCTGAAATTATGGTGTATTATTCGCAAAAATCAATAGCCCAGCTCGTGAGGGTAGATTTTGCTTCCTTTAAGGGTGGCTGTGGTGGTGAAAAGCGAGAGAGAGTCCTCTTTCGGAGTCGAAACAATTAAAAAGATTTCCATCTCCAATGGGGCGGCTCGTTTTTCCTTCGCCGACTCGTTGTCATTTTTGGTTCGTTGTGTTATTAAATGAATTATTTTTATTTCGTTTCATATTATTGCCTTACATTGTTATATCTCCTTGTGGAATCTCCTCAAGTGTGTGGTGTGCGATTCTCTCTCTGGCCAGAGAGACAGAGACAGAGTGGACGAAGAAAAGGAAGTTCTTTTTTGCTGGTGTGACTCTGGGGAAGAGATGGGCATTTAGTGTGTTGGGCGCAAAAATGGTACGCGGAGAATGGAGGAATTTTTTCGCTGGCGTTGAGGCTCCAAAAGAGAAATAAACATCAATTTTGCACTCAAACCATTAATTCAATGTTATTCTTCTTGTATTCGCGCGCTCCTCTTTCACCAATTGTTTGTCTCTTGCGCATTAAATAAATTACAGGCGGTAATTAATTTTTATGTTTTATTAGCACATCTTTAAGCCACTGGACGGAGTACAAAAAAAAAAATTCATTCATGTCAGGCATAAATTGTGGATATTTTGTGTGTGCACACATAGAGGATAATTGTTAATTGGTTCTCGGGAGTCTTCTTCATGCGACACTCTTGGCAAACATCTGCCTCGGAAAGCCTTCAATTCATCACGCTGGGCATTTGGTCAGAAAATTGTGTCCAACAGCCACAACACAGTCATGTCGTGCAATGGTGAAAGCTCCTTGGGGCTGAAGAGGAAATTGAGACCATTACCTGGGACAAAATCACCCTCGGAAGTAGGTTATTGTCCCCCCCTTTGGGTGACAGAGGGAGACAGAGAGTGAGCGAGGGAATTATGCAGTGGGATTTTCCAGCCATGTCGACTCTCTGTGTCTTTTCCACCCTCACACACCACTTTCGCCAACCCACGGCTCTTTCCCCTTCGGATTTCGGTGACGAGATGACAAAGTACCCACAAATGATGATTGTGGCGAGGAGGAAATTTACATTCATTCGCTAAGCATGTGGGGAAGAGCTCCTTCGGCATTCCCAACATGGGTCTTCGCCCCATCAATTGTATGTCAAACAGGGCAATATTCACCCAATTGCTTCCGGGCAGATTTCACTTACAGACACCTCAACTCCTCACCCAAAATGGGGGCTTATTATGTCGCTGCAAATTAGGGGTTCGCGACACACTTTACATGCTTTTCCTCAGTGCACAACTCTGAGCTTCTGTTCAACCAAGGGGCAGATATTATGATCGGAACTTGTGTACAGCTTGGCGGAAGTGTTAAGATATTTTGAAACATTTTCTGAATTATTTTGCTAAGAAAAACTCAATTTTTATTGCTTTTCTAGGTTATGTGATTGATTTTAGTCAGATTCTGGCGATTAAATAACTCTCAAACAGTTTCAAAGTCAATCATAACCTCAAAAATATCTTTTCAGTCTTTGATTTGAGCTCTAAAGAGGAGAAAATCAACATAATGTATTTGTCGAAACATTGAGATATTCGCTATAATTGCTCATTTCCAGATTTGAAAGATTGATTTTATCTCATGACGGTTTTTTAAAGCCGGATTCATAACTTCAGAATTTTGTGACAAAAACAAAACTTAGGAAATTAAGTCAGAAATTGTTCATGGACAAATCCTGAGACAATAAAATAATTTTTTACGGTCTGAAATATAAGAATTTACCAATTCTTTAGATGGAAAAACCTATATTACATTGTGATAAGTTATAAATGAAAGAGTCGAAGTGGTGTACAAATTATGGGCATATTATCTTCCCTTTGTGCTTAGCAGCTTCTGCATTCAATTCAAATAGGGTTGTAGATCATTCAGAGTCACTGTAGATGATCAAATCTACTCAATGTCTTCATTTCCTCCTGAAGAAACTTTCCTCTGATCCCCAGTGGAAATTTTCAATATTTTCTCCACGAAATCTTCCAGCCTGGCACGTGAGCTCGGATGAGCGAGTAATTCAATTTGCTCTCCATCGCTTCCCAGCTGCGGTTTTAATGCACACACCGCCACACGATCAGTCTCGCGGCGGCTTTGAGCGCGAAACAGTGCGGGAAAAATGTGAAAAATTGTTAATTTATTTAAAAAAGAATAATTTATATTCAGCGGCAAGACGGCAAGTGTGCGCTCCCGCGGGGGGTGAAGCTCTGATTTTCGCCGGCACGTGAGGTGAGGGTGAGCCGAGGGTGGGCGTCGAAGGTAGATATGGAAAAATCGTCTATTCACCTCACGGCTGTGACGTGGAATCCTTGTGCGCGCTGGTTGGGGGTGCAATTCAGCGATCTCGTCGTCATCAAATAAAAGCGGAGGGGCTCGGGCGGGGCGAAGTGGAACAACGACGACACGTTTCTGTAGTCAAGAAGATGATAAAACATGCGTGGATTGAAAAAAGCAATTCATACGCTATTCCCTGGCATTGTGTGTGCTCAAACGACGAGAGGGATGGGGATGAGTTGCGGGGGTGGCTGAGAAAGTTCATGGGTGGTTGGGAAACTATAGACACGCTTCGCATGTGGATAAAAAGGCAAAATATATGGTGCCACGTGAAATGATAAAATTCATGCAGGCGAATAAATTTTGCCTAGCTCTCTCTTCCTGCTGGCAACATCAAAAGATGCTTCCTCGGCATCTCAGGCGAAAAAGAATGTCTTTTTCTCTATAGCGAAAGAGGAGATTTCTTTTCCGGTTTTGGCTCCTCTACACTCAGAATAACGGTCACATAAGCGATGATTTGTGGCTGTTCGACGCCAGAGGGTTCTTTACCGCGTGTGAGCGTGCACTTCGCGCAGTGTAGCGCTCGGCGATGGTTCATAAAAATTACATTAAATATCCCACCGCATTGGAATTGACTGGGAGAGACGTCAAGTGTGTGCTGCTGCCTGTCTGGGGGTTCTTGTGCAATAAAGATCGTCATTATTTGCAGAGCTTAAAGCTCTCAGCGAGGCGTTGTGGGTGGCAAAAAGGCGGGTATAAATATTCAAAAGACATCCCATAAAACACCTTGGCGCTATTATTGCCTCCATATGAGAGTGTCTCTCGAAGTCGGTGGAAGCTGCCGTTATTACATTTATATGTTGTTCACTCGGGGTGCGAGTAAATATGTCATATTCTCGAATTTCGCCCCTCGCCAGGTGGGTGGTTGAGTTGAAACTCTGCCAGACCATCGCCACGCAAACACCCTTTGCCAGAAAAGGGTGTTTAAGCTATATCAAATCATTTTCATATCCAGAGTTATTGCATCGACGATGGCGCTTGGAATATTCATGGAGAAAAGACGCATTTCTCGGTGGTTGAAAATTAGCAAAATGTCATCAATTTGGCGCATGTGAAATTCCGGAAACTTATGGATCTCCCTCTGTTTTTTTTCTCTCATTTCTGCGGAAGTGTGTGTTCGGGCCCACTTTTCGCCCTCCAACCACTCAGTCTCCTGGCTTTTCCCTGACGCATCTGTGCGATTCACTCGCCCGGAATATTGCTATGTACATGCTGAGGCCGGAGATGGCAATCTGCTGTGAATGGGTTCCTTCATCCTTCCTGCCATTCCAGCCAGAGAGAGAGAGGCAAAGAAAATGTATGGCGCGCAGTGAAAGTGGCGTGAAAGCAACTAACGTCAGTTGAAAATGTTCTGTGCCAACTTCTGGATTACCTTTTAATCCGCATTGATGAAATTTCACGTTGGGGGTGTTTTCGATTTTTGAGCAAAAATTGCTCACCTTCTGAACTGTCTGTTTAAGTGGAAATTTGTGCCAGACTTTTTGGCAGAATGAGTGTCGTGAACTTTGGCATCCCCTTTTTCGGTGGAAAATTCCGTGACATTGAGATGTGCGATATTGAATTTTAACAGGCAATCCATTATGGAGTTCCCATTGGAGAGTCAATTCCGCGTCTTCATATTTCTCACCCCGATTTTGTAATGTGACACGTGAAGTGTCACGAAGTCCTCAATTTCCTCAACTTCGATTCGCGCGCGCGAAAACTTTGGAGTCTGTCGCGCGCGTCCATGAATAAAACATTGGCTCGCTGAGGCCAAATCCCGGGGAAACCTTGAACCTGGTGAACTTGCTGGAGGACAGGTGGATTTTTCCGTTTTCTAGGGATCCCTTTCACATTTGGGGGCGGAAGTGGAAACCATCAAATTCTTCCCTCAATCCTTTTGAAACCCGACGGGGAGCACTGGGATATTAACTCCTCGCCACTCCATTGAGGACAATCTTTCCGTGTGTGTTAATATCTCTCTAATCCTGATAAAGTATCTGGCGCGCTTGTCGTCCTAATCCGCCCCAGAAGGCTCATTTTTCGTCATTGAAAATGCACCCAATGGGCAAATCGAGGGCGAAGGAAAGGGGCTTTCAGGGGTTGAAAGGTGAATCAGACAATCTTCCCTTGCGGGATAAGAGATGATTGTGAAATTTGTATGAAGAGCGTATTGTATTTGGTACATTATTATCAAGATTCAGAAAAGAAAATTTATGGTCTGGCCAAGGGGAAAATATTCTGTTCTTAAGTGTGGTGAAGAGCTTTTTAAAGGAAATGTTGGAAATGTTTATAATATTTGCATCACAAATCTTCTGATTCAACTAATTGAGGCATTTTCTATATTATTTTGCTTAAAAACATCAATTTTATTGTTTTTTTAGGTTATGTGATTAAATAAACCACACAATCATCTAATTTGTGGTAAATCTGGGATTATTCGCCTTTTTCGCGGCTGAATTGAGCATTTTCGTTCGAAAAACTTCAGATTAAGTAAATTTCAGATAGAAAATAGCTTAGAAGTGAATAGAAAAAGCGATGGATAATGCTTATCAAAGCGTTAAGAAGTGTCACGATTTGAGGCATATTATCTCCTCCTTGGGTTTGGGCTTTTTTCCCCATTAGACATTTGGTGAAATATTAATTTTTATGCACTTTCCACTGGTTTCGATCAAAGCAAAAGCGTATTTCGATGGTGAGCTAGAATAAATATTTTGCACCATTTCGGCGCTGCTCGCGTGTGATGAGTCAGCTGCCATATGAATAGGACCTTTTCGGCGCTGTTTCCCATTCCGGCTCATTAAGTGAGATTTCAGAATGTTGTTCCCTCCATTGGAGATTTCCAATTAGAATGGCGCATTTGTCGTGTAGTGCAAATATCGCTTAAATATTCAGTGAATCGAGAGTAAATATGTACAGAGAGAAGTGTACGCTGGATAATGTGGCCTGTGCCGTAAAGCTCACGCGTATGACTCGAAGGGGCGGCGGTGGGTGGTGTTGGGTAATTGAAAAAAAGAGCCATGAGCGAGTGCGTGCGAGAGGGTGAACAGGGTGGAGTGGGCGCGGTGCTCCCAAATGCCAATATTGCCCAGTTCTATTAGTCAGTTTGGCCTTTTTCGATTTGTCATTTATTTTAATTAATGGTTTTGTGATTAATGGCCCCAATCAATACTCCAGCGAGATATGGAATCCTGTCAGGAGAGTGAGAGAGAGAAAAAGTTGCCCAAACGAAAGCGCGTAGAAATATACGAAATTGAAGACAATTATTATTTTTATATTTATTACACACACAACTCATTGATATATGTTAACCCGAAAAAGTGATGATATTTCTTTCCTCAAATACCATTTTTCCTTCTTCTCTTCACTCTTTGCAGATGCCGGTGGATTTTCATCCGATAGGAACGTAACCAAAGCATTAAAATTAAATTCTCTTCTAATAGAAATTTGTGTATAAAACGCTAAAAACTACCGCTAACTTATTTATTTATTCAAACTAATTTATTTCAACGGAACTTTATAAAAAAAATCAAGTTTCAAAAACACTTTTCTCACCTGACTTTGGCAGTGACAGAGCAAAAAGGTAACAAAAAAGAACAGAAAGGAGAAAAAAGAAGGGAAAATCGCAAAAGTCTGATTTGAAACCAAATAAATTTTACACCACATATTTCTGCGAGAAGGAGGACAATAAAATTTCCACGCAATAATATTTTGAGCGTCAAAAATACGAAGAGGGAGAGAGAGCGAGTTGGAGAAGCAGCACAAAATATTGATTTCATATCACACAACACTTTTCCATGGTTGAATTTTCAGTATTAGAATTGATTTTGACGAAGAGGAAGGAATATTTTCTACACACAAACACACATTAAAAAGAAGAAAAAAAAATAACACACAAAAGTAACTCAAGTGTCCGATAAATCAGTACAAAGGAAAAATTATACAAAATAGTAAGGAAAAAAAAGTGTTCAAATGTAAAAAATTTTTACAAATAAAATAGTAACGTAATTGACACTAATTCAAATACAAGAATCAATTCATGTGCCCATAAAGTAAACTTATAAAGAAGAAGAAGAAGGAGAAAAAAAGAGAAAAACAAGAGAAGTTTATATTTAAAAGTTACCTCTAATAACCAAATTGAAGCGCGATATTTTTTAACGTGAGCAAATCAACAGATAACCAAAAAAAAGAAGTGAACAAAAATTTATCTACGGTTTTTCTAAAAACTCAAGCAAAAGAAAAGGAATCAATTACAAAAGTAGTGTGAAGAGTTGTGTATTTTTTTAAATTTGCGAAATAAATAGAGCAGTTCGAGGGGCGAAAGCCGAAGTGAAAACAGTGGCGGACAGAAGTGTATACCAAATAAGAGACAGTGCAGGACTTTAGATTGCGCGTGTGTTGTGCCAGAGTTCAAGTTGACCATAAGGAAAATCTCTCTACCTCGATCAACAAAAAAAAAAACTATAAGATACTGAGTACAAATTTTCGTGTTAGTGTGTAGAGTTTGTAGTAAAAAAAGAAACATGTCGGCTAGACGCGATCGCGATGTAGCATGGCATCCATGATGAGCGCCTCGACAGCAGACGACGCCGATCATAGTTTGCCCTCATTCACAAACTTCTCCAGCGACCTGGATCCCAGCTCATGGGAGTACTACGAGCGTGGTGATCGCAGCGACATTGCATCCCAGCAAGCCAGCAACTACAATCGGCCCTGGGAGATGGACTCAAAGGACAAGGGCTTCGAGCCCTTCTCGAAGCTGCCCTCCTTCCAGAGTCAGTTCCACACGTACTCGGATCCGCCGCTGGTGCCCGAGCCTAGCCTACCTCAGCCCGTCCCGGTGCCCGTGTCGCCCAGCTCAGCGTCGCCCGGCAACGGCTCCCTCACGCAGCTCACGCCCATCAATCCGCTGCAGCCTGGCCTCACCACCTTGCCCAGTCCCAGCTTCCACACGCTCACCGCCGTGAACACGCGCACTTATCCGCTAGTGCCGGCGCCCATTCAGGCGCGCGACATTCCCACCATCCAGCAGCAGTACCTGGACGAGCGCCACATCCAGCTGTACCAGCCCATCGCCACCTTTCCCAGCCAGAACGTCGTCACGGTGCTGAAGAACGAGCCCGGGAACTTCGACCTGAAGAACGGGCTGCACCACAGCAACTTCCAGAATCCGCTGCTGGACAACGGCTTCGATGGGGCCAAGGTGATCCAGGGCACCAAGGACACGGCCTCCCCCTCACGGTGTGACGTGCGCAAGAAGGAGCGCAGGAAAATCCGAGCCAGCTCGCTGGAATCCAGCGCTGAGTCCGAGAGCAGCGCCATGGAGTTGGGCGACGTGAACTCGGGCCAGGTGGCGGCGGTGTCCAGCACGGCGAGCTTCAAGAGCCCCATGGGCTCCATGGGAATGGTGGATGGACATGATGACAACGGAGAGAAGCAGGTGAGCAATGAATCAGTGGTAATTTAATGCAAAACGCGACACTTTTGCCTCAGTGGAGACGCCTGGTGAAAGCTCACCTTCGCTGAAATATTAACTTTCTTTTCACTGGTGAAAGATTTCCCCAAGCTTCAGGGGGTGAAACTTTTCTCTTCCTTCATGCCCCATGAAGAGTGGATTTTGGAGCGGGAAAACCCTTAAGATGTCCTCACTATTTTTTCCGAAAATCCCTTGAGCGCTGAAAAAAGCGCCAAACTTCCTAAGAAGCTCATCACAGATTCTCCCGTAGAATCTATTCATGAATAATTTTCACATATTTCTGCACACTTTCGAGACAAAATGTGTCTTTTTCGGAGAGAGTGGAACAATCGGTGTATATTTTCCAAAATATCTTTCACCATCATTTTAAAAGTTTTTGCCACGGGGAAAAGTGTGAGTGTTGGTGAGAGGAAAAAATTAATTTGAATTATTATCGAAGTAAATTATTCAAAATGTTCCATTCCATTAAAAGTTGGGCGTCGTGTTTCGGCGGGTGGCAAAGCTGAGGAGAGGAGAAGAAGTGTTTGTGGCACTAGATAAAGTTGAATGGTTTCTCTTACCGGGAAAATTTCTCTGGGCCTCCCTTTTTTTGCAGACGAAGAAGAAGCGGAAGAGGTGCGGAGAGTGCATCGGGTGCCAGAGGAAGGACAACTGTGGCGACTGTGCCCCGTGCAGGAATGATAAGAGCCATCAAATTTGCAAACAGCGTCGCTGCGAGAAGTTAACGGACAAAAAGGTGAGTCTAGCACGTTTTAATTAGCATTTCTCTCGCTCGCCTGATAAACTCTATTTCCGCTGACCATTTTTTCCCGGCCGGCAAACACCCATAAATCATCCCGAAAAAATTTAAATAGTAATTAACGTTATCATGTTGCCATCTTGCCCGAATGGCAGTTGTGCCGCAGCCATTTGATCGTGAGATAGGTTGGAATGGCGAAGAGTCTTTGTCTCCTCGGCTCTTTGGCACATTCTCGCACCTTTTCCAACTGGCCTCTCGCCCAGATCGTTAACCATATAGAGAAGTTGATCGTGTGAAGATGTTGTGTTTCTTTTACAATGACTCCAAATCAAATGGAACCACTTGAGGCACTGAGACATATTGATGTGCCACGAATTTCCACGTGAAGCTAGAGGTCTGAATTTTACCACCAATCTTCCCTCATTAATGAGTGATTATCATGCCGAGTTTGAAGACAAATCAGAATAAATCCTTGATCCCTTTATGCTATTAAAACATAACCAAAGCAGTAATGAAACGTCCAACTTAAGTAATATTTGAAGTCTTCCCACTTAAATATGTTTTGGGTTCTTAATGAGGTTTAAATGAAACCAATTCAAAACCTCCATTCGAGGATAGCATGGAGGTTTTTCAGCTGCACAAGAAAGGAAATTTAATCAGGGAAATAACCAGAAGGGCCTCTTATTCCAGAAAGACAGTTTGGAGCACAATTGACCGCGTAAAATGGTCGATTTCGCGAAAGAAAGGGTCGCGAAATACTTTTTTGGCGAATTTTTGAGATGTTTAAGATTAATTCCGTCATGTCTGTTCCTAAGATCAATTAGGAATTGTTCCTTAAAGTGTGTCCCATCTCTAATAAAACCGTGAGAATCAAACTTCTCTGCGCTCTGTGGCAAAATATGAAACGGAAAGAGGTGATAATTCACGAAATTTGCAGATACAATAGCGTGTCATAAAGTCGTCGAACTGTCGGCAATTTGATAAACCTTATATTGCACCTTTAACGTTTATTTGCTCTCTCGATAAGACTCTCACCCACGCGACAGCACACAAGATGTTCCGGAAGGCAATCCTGACTCGCTTTCTGGGCCACTGATAAGAGTTTGATTAATTTGACACGCTCCTGCGAGAGTTTGAAAAAAGAAGTAAATTTATCGATGGGCTGATGTGCACGATGGAACAGCTGAAGTGAACAGATGCGCTCCGGAGTTCATCGTTTTGTGGATGATTCTCAAAACACAACCTCGAGAAATTCTTCACTGTGAATTAATGTGCCTTTGTGTGCACATTTGGAGAGAAAAAGGAAGGCATTTCACATATGGTCCTGAAAGTCGCGCGCGTTTTCTCAGCCACGGTGAGAGCGAGAGAGAGAGAGATTCCTCGTCGGTTTTGGTGGGAAAAATGACGATGAAAAGAGTGTCTCCACTTGAGTGGAAGTAATGATGAATTGTTGCCGAAAAGAAAAGTCCTCGAAAAGAGAGAGAAGAGCGTCGATGTGCGCGCGATTATATGGTTCGCGATCCCCTCTGGCGTTCCTTGTAGTCAGAAAATGTGGCGTGCGCAGCTCTAGATGATGTCGCTGATAAGGAATTGAGAGTTGTGGCCTCTGCCACCCTTCATGTTCACTGGGAAGTGTGGTTTGACCTCATTTCTCGGCCGACATCATCCCCGGAACTTGCCAATATGCCGCTGCCGCTCAAATTGGCGCGAATAAAATGTCTCAAATTACAATATCCGTTTCGCATCTTCGGCAAGCTCTGCACATGGGATTTTCCACACAATCCGGCAGACATTGTAGCAATTGTGCGCCCAGAGTGAACACAGTGGCCAAAAATTCAGGCATCCCCGACAGGGTCCATTGTGAAGGGCAACAAAGCCAGGCATCATCAGCTGGTCGCATCCATAAATCAAGGATATGACGAGAGAGAGAGAGGAAGGAACGGAAAAAATTCACACCTTTGCCGCCACGCACACACATCCCAGACTCTCTCGTCACACGATTTCATCTCTCTCTCTGCATCAGACAATTTGATTTTAATCCAATTCCACAGGCGAACGACAAAATAATTATCTGTCCCGCATTTCCTTCCCATCGTCCTGAGTCTCCTCGTCAAATTGCTCCTATGTATTTGGGCCTCCCATTCAACTTCTTCTCCGGCATAATCTAAAATAATAATTCAGAGAAGGTAAATAGGAGACTTCGTACATAGGCAGCGACAGGATCTGGTGCTCGTCTTCAAGTATATTCTCAACACTAGAGTTGAGATGCGACGCTTTGGTAGATTTGAGATGCTATCTGTCGCTTGGTGGGGAGATTTGGCATCGCAGAGCCTCTATTCTCTTCTATTTTCAACTTTGAGTGTGGGTGGCATGGGTGAGAATTCATAAAGTAGATGAAGATGATCAGAGTAAGTCGGTTTGGGGCGTCTCTCCGGCATATTTCGCCCGTTTCTCAATCTCACTCCTCGATCTTGTGTGCTCGGGAGAGTCGTGAAAAGGTGAAAACGGGATAATGGCGAAGTGGATAAAGAGGAAAATCTCATTTTCACATATCCTCACTAAAGTTTTGTATTAGAAAATTTACACAAGGCGAGGCGATTTACGTATCGACAGTTTTGCCTTTGCGTGTGAGAGAGTTTCTATAGAGTTGCGGATTTTCGGGATGTCACTAAATTTAGAGTGAGAGAGAGAGAAAGCGGAAAAGTCCCTCATCTCCTTAATTCGCCCTTCACCCACTTTTCACAACCCTCATGCTGTCCAATAAAATATAATCAATCGCAAGTCATGTGATTAACTCTTTTTGGGTCGTTGGCAGGCCAACTTTTTAATGAACACTTACTTGCCCTCTTAATTAATTGAGAAAATTGATTGGAAGGTCGATGGGTGGGTTTCGACTTAAAAAGAAATTACACAGCATCCCATGAGAGGGAGGTTTTTTTCGCTCTCATTCTCTCTTAGACAAGGGTGAAGAACGGACGGTGGAAGAAAGAGTGGTGGTCTCGATGGGGTGTAATATAATTAGAGGTTTTTCACCAGTGACGATGACGCGATGATACCCTGGAAAAATTAAATGAAATGTCTCGAGAAGTTGTGCGTAGGAAATTGCGATGGAAATTGGATTCTATTTTCTAAGCTCACCATCACTTTTCTCACACTTTTTTCCACTCTCTCTCTCTCCATTCTGGCCATTTGGGCGGAGGTTGTTCAACCCTAAAAACCGTCCCGAACTAAAGGAAAATCATCCCAATATATAGCGACAGAATGTGGCTTTGCGTTGAATTGAAATTCAACGTCTATTTGCTCAGGATTAATGACTCGAGGATATCATTTAAGTTTCTTATTAATTTTTTGCTCTTCACCCTGGAAAAGGAAAACGAGGGATTTTTCGGTCTTGCACAGACACTTTCTCACGACCCAATGGTCTCTTCATCTCCTGCATGAGCCTCTTCAATGGCCAGGTATCTCGAGAACCGGAACGTTTTCATACACCTTGACACGCATTTCTTGACAGACAGATAAAGTACACAAAAGAGCCCAGCAAAATGCGTGAATATCTTGATGGCAAAGGCGCAGTGAAGGCAGACAGCGAAGGGTGGCGAAGCGCATGAAGACAATGCTGCAGAATTACACTACGCCACTGCTGAATCCTCCCAGGAGTCCTCGATGTTTCTTATGTTGCTTATGCTTCCTAGCAATGCGACGGAACACTGGTGGTCGGCGTTTTTTGCTTGGCATTGGATTTAGCGATGAATTTGATATGATGCGGAAGTGATATTCAAGATGCAATTGTTACCACTGCAATTGATACACACGGATATTGGTGCCTGAGTTGCTTAGTATGTAGATTAGAGAGTGCTTTGGAGGATCAAATATCCTCCTTTTTGCCACATGCGGACAAAAGGACAAAAGGAGAGGTTGAATGACCGATTAATGCATCCCATGCGAAGGCAGAAAAAAAGGTGAAATTAATTGAGAGTCTGTTGGTATGTATTTTTTGCCTATGGATAACATCAAATTAGAGTATCCTCCGGTAAACAAGTAAAATAAATTAGGGCCCCTTCCTGTCTCTCGCTCTCCTCCTGACCAAAGAGGGATTGAAGATGGGAAGAAAGCCGCCATATATCACTCGGAATTCTCTTCCTTTTGCGCCTAATGCACTCTGTGTTGCTCCCAACATGTTTATTTTAATTAATTCACACCATGATGGTGAATAAAAAGCTGCAGCAGAAATTGATGGAGGGTTGCTGCCTACCAATTATTGCGAAAGGATCTCTCTGAATGAAGGCTTTGTTGTCAAAAGACGGAAATATCGAAGGATCATCATGCAAAATTGACGAGATTTTGGCTAAAAGAAAAAAAAAGAAGTCTGAATGAAGGGAAATCCAGGTGGTTTTGAGTGTTGTGTTGTTTTTTCTTCCACAAAGATTCACGATATGGCGTTCAAATCAATACCAAAGATGGGTTTGGAGCTGAAAATATATGTAATTTATGTTTCAATTTCACATCGCATTTCAGCCAAACAATACACAACAGCTCAGATGCACGAAAATGGACACTTTTGGCTCCGTTTGTTGGCATAGAACACATGCACGCGCGCGTGTGTGTGTGGATAAATTGTGCCCGGGCATTATAAAATGATGGTTGATGGTGAAAGAAGACTTAAAAAAAAATCCTCCATCGGTGTACAAACATGAGCCACGACAGATGTGCACCTATAAAAGCCCTGAAAATGCAGTCCCGTAACGAATTTTACATGTTAAAATTGTGGAAATACATTGGGAGAGTTGCGCGTGTGGAAGAAGGATATAAAAGTGCCTTCCACCGACAGAGACTCACACATGGCGCATCTCTTATTAATTCTCTGGCATGGCTTTCACGTAATTGTTACAATTTTTCCTCGCCAGTCGGGAGGATCAACATCGAGGGATTTAATTTGAGGCAGCAAATTGGCGCGGGAATTGGCAAGTGTGTGACGATGCAGGCATCAATACTTGATC